CGTGGATGATTTATGGAAGCTTGCGCAATTGGTAGGTGGGGAAAACTTGAGTCTTCAACAACAATGTTTGGTGAAAAATTCGGATGATGTATATGTAAGAAGTTATATTATCAACAAATATTGTTGAATAATTCATTTGAATCAGCATGAGAATTAATACTTACCGAACCTATAATCAACCTCTTCCATTTTTAGTTTTTATATAGTTAGGAACTATATTTCTCGTTAATTAGAGCTGGTTTGTGCTCGCTTACAGTCACAGAGCACATTTGATCGAATAAAAAAAATAAACAGGCGCATATAAATATAATATAACAAAAACACAGACAACATACCGAAGAAAAAGGATTACTGAACCACATGAATTAACTCATCTCAGAATAATTGAAGGTTCATCATTGTACTATCACTAACGGCACAACAGTAACCTTCCAAATAAAGCTAAAATATGGTACACTGATTCTTGAAACGAAATAAATTAAAGTCTACCATATCTACACACAAACAAAAAAAGCTTGATGAAATCAATAATAATATTTTCAAAACACACACATATACATGAAGTCTATAACTTTCATAAAACAATGATAATGTTCAGTAGTTTTTGTTATATTTAGAGTTCTATAGTATTTGGTGAAACGTATATAATTTGGTTATTGCTGATTTTTCATATCTGGTGATTCCGAATTTTGTAGACTAGTATGGATTTTTCAAGCATAGGAAATCTAGTTATAACTACGCACATGGGTCGTGTCGAATCTTCACGATCAAATATAATACAAATTTTGTTTTTCCATGAGACGTTGGTAGGTACGGTACAGTGTCTATATGTATAAAATGTGTGTGGGTGTATATATATGCCGCACGCACCAAATGGAAGAGAAGGGCATGCACACGAACCACCCGTGAGTCAACAAACCAAATGGTTCGTGTGATAGGTTGACACGTGCGAGGCTCTCTACTCCAGATGTTTTATCAAGCCTTGTCGTAATCCTTATATTAACTCATCGGTAGTTGCGTGGATTCTCCTCCTCCATTGTATATCTTCTTCTATAATTAGCTAGGGTTCCTCCTTAACAAAAATATCTTCTTCTTCTTCTTTTTTTAACTTTTAAGAATAATATTGAGATTGTAAATTGTATACATCAGAAGATGGTGATGATGAAGAGTGGTTGGATTCGATGCTAGGCTTGACAAAGTGAGCAATCTTATGTGTTCTCATCTTTGTTTCGTTGTCTGTTCGACCTTGGCCTCGATCTCATAACCCTAATACTATAACTTTACTAACCCTTTTATCTTTTTTTTCTTCCATGCATCGTTCTTATGATCACACCATAGATGATATCAATATGATTTGTGATTGATCCGGAAGACGATAGAGGCTTTTTGAATTTTAGTTTCAAAGGGTTTCTTTTGTAGTTTGAACACTGTCTTTATAGCTTATGTATACACATACTCCCAGAATTCTCTATTTGATTGAACGTATATATGCTTAAGTCTTGAATTATGTTCGTATACATACGTAGTTTCTTTCCTTTGCATCAAATCTAACGTATATATAGAACATACTAATATACATATTGACGTCAGATAGTTCGATCGATATAGCTAGGCAATAGGCATGCTTGTTAATCTGCAGATGCACAAAACCATGTATACAACATGATGACTGTTGAAATGTCGTATGGTTATACATATCGATCGAACGTTTCATAATGAGATGAGACTAAAGTAGCCATATTTAAAGTAGCCATATTTTATATTAGTTAATAGGTTTTTAATTAAACATGTTTATAATGTTATTAATTTATCTGAAGATCGGTATGTCACACCACTTGTACACAGAACAAAGTTCAGCATATTACGAGTCGTTACTTCCTAAGGAGTCGAAAGTTTGAATTGGTCTTTCTTTTGTCCGTAGAGCTTATATGTAAGTTATATGTGATTTAAAATAAATAATAAGAGTTATACTTATACATGTGATGGTAATTAAAGCCAAAGCCAAGGTCGAACAGATAGCGAAGATAAGATGGAACCAGATCGGGACTGCTCCTCTGACAAGTGTTTGCACTGAATCCAACAACTTCGCTGGGCTTATACATAGGTTTTTTTATATATATGTGCATGGTTCGATGGAGTGGAATAATAAGATGAATTTTTTGTAATAAATAAAAAAAAAAAAAAGAAGAGGAAGATCGAGGCATATGGACCTCAAACCCTACCAACCCCCAAAAAACCCAAAACCAAACCAAACTCACATCTCTTTGTTTGTCTATTTGTTTCCTCTCTAAAGCCCTTCGGGGGTAGGTGTGTGTTTTCGACTCGTGATTCATTTTTTCCCCACCATTCTTTTTACATTGGTTTTTAATAGCTATTGGTTTTTCGTTTTTCTTTTATATATTTAATTAGCTCGATTTTCTTATATTCTTTGTAACGAATCTCGACGCGGTAGGTTCAAGAAAAGTACCCTTTCGTAAATTGAAGGTTTCTATGCATGCAAAAAAAAAAAAACAATTCTCCCACGAAAATTCATTCAAATAAATATTACGTGAGGATATATTGTCAGCCAATCCATCTTTGAATTCTTTAATAAAATGATGTCAAGTAGATTAATTACGTTTAAAAAAGAATGAATTTTGTTACATTTTTCAATATTTATGTATTCGTAGATTCGTAATGTTTCTGATACTTTTAGAGATTTTATTTAGTTTTTGTAAAATGCGAGGTATAGATAGTTAATGACTTAGGAAAAAAACCAATAAGAAAATAGTATGTCATCGTTTAATAGCAAAAATAAACATTACCGAGATGGAATAACATTTTGAGGTATATCCAAATATGTCCCTGTGCCAAGAAAGCTGAAACCAAATTTCCCATGTTTCATATTTCACATGCGTTTAATCCATACACAGTTCGTCACCGAATAAAAGAAGAAGAAGCCTTTTAGGGTTAACATGAAACACAGAGTGATACTTCAAAATCACTAGACAAAACAAAATTCGATTGAACATGTAGGCCATGAATAGAATGGTAAGTTATAAGCTGAATGATTGAACAACTAAAACATTAGAGATGAATAATGTTTGCGATGGTAAGTAGATTTATAAAACGCTTCTTCTAACCTGTTATCTATTTAATAGTCGAACAAGATGCAGTGAACTATCTTATTCAAGAAATAAATATAGTGAAGTATCCTATTCACGTATTAAATACTTGAATAGGGTCAAGTAAAGCTTTAAGAAATTTACCATGGTTCAGTTTAGTTTTAATGGAAAACGAAATGAAAGTACAAAAGGTGTATATATGATTTTTAACTTCGAAATCTTAAATACTAACATCAACGTACTTCCGTAGTCGAACCAAGTCCTATCGTAAAAGCTCAAATGTTTCTCTGTTCCATGAAAAAAAAGAATGCGATTTTTTTGGAAAAAAAGATGAGACTATTTTCTGAAAAATACTCCGTGCTTGATAAGGGTATAGCACGTTTTTGTAGCATGATTTAAACGCATGCACAATACTCATTATATATGAATGAAGTGAATGCTGAATTGTGTAAAAGGTGATCAATAATACAAAGAGAAAGAGATGTAGTAAAAGAGAGAAAGAGAGAGGATTGGTTTACAAAAGATTGCAGCTACCAATGTGCTTTTTTGCCGTCGGTTTCAACTTGCAACTAACAATACCACTTCCCAAATGCTCTTCCTTGATGAAGTTAGGTAGGCTTCGTCTGTCAAAGCCCATTGGCCCAACTATAATCATTACACCCTTTTAATAATAATTTGGTACATGTACAATAGTGTTGATCTGACAAAAAAAAAAATTTGAACTGAAACAAAAAAAAATTTGGAAAGAAAAAAAAATTCTACACTCATTTAAGTAAATGGCAAAAGTTACGGTAATATTTATCATAATCGAATTATTATTTGTTGTTTAGTCAAATTTTGTAGATAGTTAAGCCAAAAGTTTCATAAAAGTAAAACAGAGACAATTTGCAACAATATTTACATAAACAAATATGGGTTTAAAAAACTATTAGCATTTGATGACGAAAAAATTTAAAACAACAATAACGGTATTAAGTATTTGACTAAAAAGAAAAATGTATTTGGACTTTGTATCCCTGGACTATATGTAGTTTTTAAAATTTTAAAATTCGGAAAAAGAATTTACAGATATAAAATAGGAATGAAAAATTTAAGAAACGAAAAACGATTTTTATAAAAGAATCTAACGAAAATAGAATGAGAATCTGTGGGTACATGATGAGAATAGAAATCCTAAATTTTCAACTTAAAAATATATATTTTAGAAATATTTGAATTTTTTTTGATAAATATATTAAAAAATTTCAGTAAAATCTTTGAAAAAAAAAATGTAATTAAATGAGAATTTGAATACCCGATTTGATTTATTTACCCTTCTCTTATTCTTCTCTTATCCGAATAAGATTTTTTTTTGAACAAAAAAGGAATGCTACGAAAAGTTTAAAACAGATATATGAGGGAACTGAAAACTCGTCTCGAAATTTTGAAGGCTAGTTCTATACAGACTTGAAGTTGAACCTAGTTTTTTTTTTTTTTTTAACAACTTTTTGCTGTGTTCACCGCGTTTTCCGTGCGGCGAAGCATGACTTGTGTCTGCTTTGGACAAGTAAAGTAAAAAAACCATAAAAATCTCACAATTTCGCATTTAGTTATTGAAATCCACGTGTCGTTTGAAGATGACGTGACCGTCCATTCAATCGGAGCCGTTCAATATAAAAATATCTAAAGCCTTTTGTGGATAATATCTGCCTTGTTAACATGTTCCCGAACGTTCTTGAGGTTAGATATTTTCTGAAGACAACAAAAACTTCTAGAAAATCCTCTGTAAAGAATCTTCTCTTATATAACCGCCATTGAAGTCACCTCCTTTATTATATAAACCCCAAAACTTCATTAATCATTATATACCTCTTGTGCTGTGTATTGTCGTGGAGAGTGTACATTTATATGTAACCAATGGAAGGTGGCATTAAGGTAACATCGCCGTCGTATTACGAAATTCTCGGCGTCACCGTTAATTCTTCGGCGGAGCAGATACGGCGGGCGTATCGCAAGCTAGCCATGGTTTGTTCTTGTTTTGGAGAACATTGAAAATTTTCATAGAGGAAACAACATAATGTGTTCTGACATTTTCAATTTTTATATGTTTTTTCCGGTGTAGAAATGGCATCCTGACAGGTGGACGAAAGATCCTTTCAGATCTGTTGAAGCAAAACGAAGATTCCAGCAGATTCAAGAAGCTTATTCAGGTACGGATCTTTTTTTTTCTGGACTTGGTTTTTTTTTTTTTTTGAACTTTTTATGACAAGTTGAAGAAGCAAAACTGACATTGTTGTGGAAAACAATTTGTGATGTTTAGTGTTGTCGGATCAGAGGAAACGAAGTTTATACGATATGGGACTCTATGATTCTGGAGAAGATGAGGTATGATATTTTTCAATTGCGATTTAAAGATATGTTTTTGTTCGTTTTCAAAAGTCTGATTTGTTTTTGTTTTTGCTGTGAAAGGGATACTTTGATTTTGTCGAAGAGATGGCTTCACTAATGGCTCAGACGAGAAGAGAGGTAAAAATAAAATGAGCTCATTTTTTTACCTAACTTCACTCTTATTTTTTTCTTTCTTCCCACACACGGTAACGGTTTGATAATCTTGGCGTGCAGGAAAAGCAATACAGCTTGGAAGAGTTGCAGACAATGGTTAATGACATGGTCTATGAGTTTCAATCAGAACCCTTATTCCAAAACGGACCTATGGAAATGAAATTCGACTTGAACCAACCGCCTGTAGATTGGCCTTCACCGATGTCTCTACGTGTTTCAGGCTTCGAGTTTTGTGCTCAGAGCAGCTACTGTAACTAGGATCGACTTACACATAATCTGAATCTCGGCAGACTTCCGATTTTGCGTCTCGTGGACTAATGATTGAAGAATCACTGTCCTGTTTTTTAGCTGATGGATACTCTGGCCTCAGAATCTCATACTTCCTATGACAGACAGCCGTTGTACTTGTGGGGCAAGCAACATAAATTGCTCTAGGGTTTTTTTTCCATGTTTTGCTGTTGTTGACAAGTAGCCTTGGAATGTGTTTATAAGGGTTGCGAATAATGTTCGTTCAAAAAAGCATAGGCTTGTTAATTGCGTTTCTCTAGTTGCTTTTGTACTTGTTTTCACAGAACAAAGACATGGCAATTTGTACTTCTTTCCATATTTTGCAGCCCAAAGACATATGGCATTTTTAGTAGACAATTTTTGATATGGGCTAAAGTTCCATTAAGACGGTCGGTGCGTATAATATTTTTCCAGCTTTGGTATATATTCCAACTTCTTTGCATGTCACTAAGGTAAAAGTTGCCAGAAAAAGAAAGCAGCAGTAAAATAATGCATATAATACAAAACAGAATATTTGAAAGTCCAAAGTTTATGAACTTTTTTTTTAGTAAATTAGCTTATGTTGTCGGTGGCCGCGAGCATACTAAAAACACATGACATTTAAAAAAAAAAAATTAATCAAGTCAATCCATTTAATTTCACTGCATGTGCAATGACTATACCTAAAGAAAACAATTTTTGGAATACAGCATGTATTACGCTGTTCTATAGTCCTTCCCCAATGGTTTGTTTGCCAAAAATCATTACCTTTTGATACGGTTAAGAATTATCTTCTGTATACCAATAATTCTAAATTTTCACAGCATGACAACGTCAGCTTACCAATATTACTTCTTTTATTTTGTCTGTTTTTCTTTTAAAGTTTTACAAAAAAAAATAGGGTCTCATGGGTTGATGAATTAATCTATAATCGTTATATCAAACAAACAAAAAATGAGAAAATGATATTGGCCTGGATGGATACAATTTAATACAATGCTCAATGCACCAACACTAAGAGAGGAGATATTTTATAATCAAAGTTTGTTCATACTTTTCAAGATTTTAGTAGGAAAAACGACTAATGGTCATGCTTTACCAACAAATATTTTACACACTACACAGTCATACATAGATATACGCTTTTAACCTTTAAAACCGGATTACGATCAATCATTGTGTCATCAAACCTTTGGTAACAAATAATTGGAAACCTTTAGGTGTTCATATATATAAAACAGTATATTCTATTTTTTCGGTGGACGACGGTGGATTATAGGCTAATACTTCCACCATCGTTAGATTTAATTATATTTCGAGCTAGCTATTAATAAGATTATACGAATATGGTCCATGTGGGGTCATGCTCCAACTCACATCTAAAAGCCGACGATTTCACAATCGAATGTATTCTTCTTTTTTTCCTTGCATAACGTAAAGTATTTTCATATTTAGTTATCGATTAAACAAAACTAAAATTTGGATAAAAGCATACAGACTTGAAGAAGTATATCAGTCCCATGCATCCTCTTACCAAAGAAGACCACCTTCCTAAAAAAAAATTATTATCTCATTTTCACGTCTAAGCAAAAGAATTCACCCAAGACTCTCTTTAATCGATTCTTAAAAACGATTCTCAACATGCCGGAAATAACTCGCCGTTCAAAGTCTCTCGTCATCATCCTCACGGCGATCGCATTTCTCGCGTTTCCGATCATGACTATCAGCGCTTCGGATTCTTCAGCCAATAGAAAACTCGAAGAGGAACCAATAAAATGTACACCTTGTCTCCAGAATCCTCCTCCTCCTCCGTCACCTCCACCACCATCTCTTTCTTGTCCTCCACCGCCGCTGCCTCCTTCGCCGCCTAAGAAGTCTTACTGTCCGCCGCCTCCGTCGACTTACATATACATGACGGGTCCACCCGGTGAGTTGTATCCCATTGACCAACAGTTTGGAGCGGCTGCTAGAAAAAGTTTCACGGTTGTGAAGATCTCGGGTGTGATCGCTTTTGGAGTTATGGGTTTCTTGATTAAAATGAATTAATGCTTTTTTCTTTTCTTCTTCTTTGATCGTTTCATAGCGTTTAACTGAACGGATGGTTATATGTTCCACATATAGAACTCTTAGTTACTGTCCGAGAAATTATCGATTGAAGTTTATTTATTTTTGTTAAAGTTAGGCTCGGTTATGTTTCATCATATATATTTCGTTGTGCCAAAATTATAATGAATATGATTATTCAATAATTTTAGTATCTAAACTTACAGAAATATTAATTCTAGGAGATATGTGTTCACCCCTCTACTTAGTGTAGGTTGTTTATCGAATTGGAATTGTTTGCAGGATCTTTAGAAACATTGCTTTTAATACAAGTTACAAACGAACTTGCAATAGTAAAGAGTTAAAAAGGTGATAATATTTTCTTATGTAATTTTTAGGAGCAAAATAAAGTTAATTACGTCGCAAATTTTCGGATGAAGATGTTGTAAAAAGGTATTTACATTGATTAAAAAAAATTCAAGAAAAAGCCAAAATATCTTGTTAATGTCAGCATCGGAAATACTTAACTAAAAGATTGAAGATATCGAAAAAATGGAGGTTCAGGAAATTAATAAATGAGTGTTTTTGATCAAACAAATTGAGAGCGAGAGAGGGGCGTTTCACCAAAACGTAGGGCCAAAAATTCGACTTTAACTGGACATGTACAACGCTAAATTTCGTCAAAAGTCTTGGAATCGGTTAATTAAATAAATATCAATTACGGGATAGAGTAGTGCTGAAAGATGGACAATTCCAAGAGAGACTGAAATATAATCACTCTATTTTGATTCCTAGTTGAAAGTTGAAAGGGATGTTTGTATTTCGAAGAAGAGCCAAAAATTTTGATTAACCAAAAAGGAAAACAATAATTTTTGCCATAAGTTTTTTATGTTATCTTCCCAATTCTGAATCTATAACAATTTTACCAATGCATGTAGTTTAATTATAACCAACAAATTCCATACTGAAACCAAATTAATGTCTAGAATATTTAAGAAAAAAAACGAAAGTATTTTATTCTGCATATTTATGGTCTGTTGTCTAATAATTCTAATGTCTAATTTCATAGCGGTTCGTGAACAGTCGTTTTCACTAATAAAGTAAAATACTACAATTTATAGCCTAGTGAGTTATACTTTTATTTCAGAATTTTCTTTTTTCGTTGATTTGTGTTCAGAAATTCTCACTACTTTTTTTGTAGTTATTTTATACAACTTCTTTTTCAGTCACTGTGCAACAATGATAAACAATTCGTTTTCAACTATAACATCATTAACATTGTATTTAATAACACTAAATCATCTCCATTTGGATTGGTTGAACTAATTAATTACATCCATACTTGTTAGAAACATGGAGCATAAGCTTTTAGAGTTGTCGATCGTATTACATTCTGTTTTTTTTTATTGGCTTAATAATAATACTTAAATGTATTTATCTGGTCGATAAATAGTATATTTGTAACATCGCATTGAACATCTTCTTGACTTCACAAAGTTGAAAGTACGGCTACCATCAACAAGCCTACTCAAGGGTGTGCACATCTCTTGGCAGAAATTTTTCGTAAACACACAACAAATTAGCACTTAAAACTGAAATCCAAAATCTGAAAAGCAATTTAATTAGTTAATTAGCACATACGATTTAATTTGACTTAAGATATCTAAACCTAATTGTTTTGTGTGTATTATCCCACTTCCACCCTATCGTTCCTTTATTTTTGCTTTTTTACATAACTTTTTAAGAGAATAAATAAAAAGGATGGAAGAGAAAAAAAGAAACAAGAATCAACAGATTAGTCTCCCCTTTCTTTTCTTTAGTTTTTAAAGACTTTTCATTGTATAATATGATAAGGTGGGAAATAATAGAGCAAATCACAGCCTGGGATTAATTATAAGCTTTTATCTCGTAGCTAAGTGATTACATTGAAGCTCCCTTCTCTATACTCACATAGTCACATGCATATGGATCATCTAACATATGAATATGACGTGGCTTTATTCATGCCGTGCGTAAGAATATTCTCTAAGTGGTCCTCTTATAACTGGGAGTCACACCAAAACTGAAGGATAAAGATTTCGTAACGTTAACACTTCAAGATATCACATGATCCCATTGATACTTGTTTAGTACGTAGAAATTATTTTGTAATTAACTGCCATGTAGCTTTCATTTAACCATGCATATTCTTTATTTTGTCTTAATATGCGATTAACTTAACCCTTTACAAATACATTTAGTTATCCCTTCACCGCATGTGCTTTCTCTGAACTGGATGTTCAAAACAAAATTCTCTCAATGTCAAAATTATTTTCTTTGCCGAAAAAAGCATACACATATATATATGAAGAAACTCTCTAGCGATAACACGAGCAACTCGTATTTTTTATATCACTGAACCAGGTAATGTACGTTGCGCATATAAATATAAGATGCTAATGCTACTATTTTACAAAAAAAAAAAATAATATACCCACAAATATTTTGTTATTTTTATTTTGGTCGAACCGAATACCCACCAATATTTATGTATATTTTCTAGGAGTTCAATTTTTTAAAAAGTTATGTATATATATCAAGCGGTGACTGAGATCACTCGTGATTTCTTTGAAGAAAGACAAAGTTATACAGCCAAGTATCATAATTTACAAGACAACAAGTGTATCGTAACCACAAGACACGTAAGATCTCATTGACCTTGTGAGTCGTCATAATTCAAATTTCATCACTAGTCTAAGTCTTTGTGACTTGTCTTAAATCACGTAATTATATATATACATTATTTTAAAGACAATCTAACCGAACTTTTTCTCAAAAAGCCACTCACTTCATGATTTCCACTCAGACTCAATCACAATAAGAAATAAATTCTCTCTCTTTTCTGTTTGCCATTAAAAAACACTCATAAAAAACGATAGCCATGGGTAAATGTTGCCGTCACCTCTTAAGTCTATTGTTCGTCTTTTCTCTAGTTAACTTCCCGTTCATAACCCTATCGGAGACGCCGTGTCCGTACCCTTGTTACCCACCTCCAACTGGTGGGGGCTCAACTCAACCGGCCGGTTATTACCCCCAACCGACCGGTTACTATCCTCCTCCAATGTCAGGGAATGTACCGAATTACCCCTCGCCACCGTACGTCGGAGGCAATTCCGGCGGAGGATATTATGGTTCTCCACCGCCGGACCCTATCTTGCCTTACTTCCCGTTCTACTTCAGAAAGCCTCCTCATCAGACGGATCAGTCATCATCGTCATCTGTTTCAGTGAAATCAACGGTCAAGATCGTAACGGTGGCTCATCTTCTTGCGGTGCTAGCTTTTCTTTTGGGTAACGTTTTGTAAATGTAATTTTTCTTAGTTAAACTTGTATGTCATGCTGTATAAGAAGTGGTATGGTGCTTTAGAATATGCTCTAGTTTGTGAAAATTATTGTTATGCATTTTCCAAAGAAGATGATGAGTTAATAAAATCAACAAATTAGGCTAAGAACTTTATTCTTCCCTCCTTTTTTTCTTTTGCATTGTTATTATGTTTAATCATTATAGTATCTTTATTTGTTATGTCATGTTGTTATTGTCGTCGCCATATGCTTATAATAGGATAAGTGCAACGCAACCAATGTGGGAGTATCACTTTCGGTTGGTGATTTCGTAGTAGTGGAGGAGGTTATTGAATGATTCATCCAATTGCAATTAACTCACGTTATGACTTTTCTTTTTTAATATCCTGAAATGATACAAAACACAAGTTCTAATTAAAAAAAAAACACTGTAAAAACACCATAAATTTTATAGTCTAAAATAAACTTTATTGTGTAACAAGGATTTTTTTCAAGTCTAGTATAAGGTTAGAGAAACCAATTAAAAATCCCAACCCAAAACTCCTAGTCTAGTATAAGGTTAACGAAACCAATTAAAAAACTCATACATAAGCCTACAATTAGTGGTTATAGTATTTTGGAATTTGATAATGATTTTAAGAAAGAAAAAAAAAAAAGACAAAATACATCAGAACTTGTTATAGTAATTTTTTGTGTTGTTTTTTTTTTCCAGCCGTTTAAAAATGCGACAGAATTTGCCAAATTATCATTCGCACAAAACAAAAAAACTTGCCAAATTATCGAGATTATGCATGTTATTATTAAGTAATAAGTACTATTCCGAGTGATCTTATTGGTTAAAAGTATATATTCCACAATTACAAATTTTAGCTTAAGAAAACGATAAACAAAAGCATAGGATGATGATTGATCGCAACGCGACGCAGCCAACCGCAGAATTCAAACCGCCACCTGTCCGTTTAGTTCCCGCTCCTTCGAGAACCAATCTTTTGTTTTGTTTCAACCGCCATAACATTACCCTTTTGCAAATCCGAATCTTTAGCACCACTCTGTTTTTTATTACCGACCATTACCTTTACCGTTTTACCTTCTTCAAAACCGTGTTTATAACCAACTCTCGTGACCGCCCTGTTCGTTACTGTGACTGATGTTGTATGTCGTGGTTTCGATAACGCGATTTTAGATGGCTCGGTCTGAAAATGTTTAAAGAAAGCAAGATTAGAGTATGCTTGATGTCTTTTTTTTTCAGAAAAAAAGATTGAATCGTAGAAACATACCTTGCTATGAGACACCGGTTTAGTACTGGTGTTGTAGAATGAAGGCATTGGTGTTGCCTTGAAGTTAAGACTTTTTCTAAATTGTTTAATCTCAGCTTCTGCCTTTTGCTGCATCCGAAATGTTGACTCTAATTCAATTAGCTCTTATTTTTAAAGTGTTACACAGAGACTAAGAGAAACATGGAGATGATGGTACCTGAGTTTTGGCCTGAATCTGGTTTGTCTCTGATTTTTTGGCATGTATTTTCTCCTCCAGTTTCGTATAGAACTGAAATGTAAAAAAGAATGTTTCATAAGCTCATCAAACAAATTGTATTCTCCAACCAAAGAAAAGAAAGAAACCTCTTTTCTCTTCTCAGCTCGTTCGCTACATTTGAAACGGAAACCAGAAACATTTGTACTCATCTCCAGCTTAGGAGAATAAGCACCAGTCTTGCACCTGCACGTACAACGACAGTTGCATTGTTGAAGTCGATTAACTCGTTAAAAAAGTAGAGTGGTCTTAAAGTATTGGACCTGTTTGTAGTAAGAGAAGCTCGAGTCTCGGTGGTTTTCTTCGGTGTTGGAGGTTGAGATTGAACTGTTTTCTTTGGTCTTGATACCTTTTGGCTGCTATAAAACTCTTACTCGTAAGTAAAGAGAAAACTGAAGAGAGTGAAAACATTTCTCTATGTAAAGAAACGGTAAAGTACCTCTTGGCATCTACATTGCTTTTTGAATAAGAACTTAGAGGAGAACTCTTTGTCTTCTTGGAAGCAGCTTTTGGAGTTACATCATGTCTCTTTGTAGATGCAGAGGAGGAGGAAGGTCTTTCATTAGCATCAGATGGCTATGAGTAGACCAAGAAACATGTAAGTGTTAATGTCTGAATGTGTCACAATGCCCAAAATCAACAATTATTATTACACTCTCACCTTTTCTGGAACATGTTGACCGAGTCTAGGTTCTGTTTCAACTGTAGCACAATCCAGTTTATCCTCAATCTCTAATGGTATCTCATGGAGTCCAAGATCCTCACAGCAATCTTCTTTAATAGCTATGCACTCCACTGAAACATCATCATTGTCTAAAGGAACATCAAGAGTCCCTCTTTCTTCATCAAGCTCGATAACATCATCCGAATTCACCACAATCTCATCATAGCTCACACAACGATCACTTTCCTCTTGTTCATGTTTGTAGTCACAAGGACTGTCTGATTGACTCGTGTTCTCCGAGAAACTCCCATCAGATCGATCATCATCTAAGCTTTCGGTTGCATATACAGCATGATCATCATCATCATCATCATCAACGTGAGGTTCACCTGTTTGACGAGCTCCCCAAGTCTGAGATTCAAGAGAATTCGGAAACCGGATCCCTTTCTTCTTGAAATGAGCCTCGAAATGAGCTTTCATCTCAGTAACAGAGCCAGGTTTAGAACACTTGTCAACTTCTTCAAGATACCTGTTGTGTGAGAACGATGATCTCTTCTCCCATGATATACCTTCCTTCTCGAATCTCCCAAACGATATCGATCCAGAGTGAATAGAATTCGCCTGTATCCAGATTCATAATCAACCAATAAGAACAATGTTCGTATCTTGATTCCTTGCTCTTACTTCTATTTCAGACCACAACTTCCTCCGACACAATTTAAAGCTAAAAACAGTAGGATTCGACGCTATCTTGATCATAAAAGGACAAGTTACTGAGATTCGGCAAGAACAAGCATGAAATGAAGAATAGTAGTAGTAGAAGAAGAAGAAACAGAGAGTATAATTTGTTAATTGTAGCAGAAGAAGTTACCTGGAAACTAAGGCTAAACGGTTCTTGAATCTCGCTTCCTGCCATTGTTATCTCATGAACTGAAAAATGTTACTGTATTGGGAAAAATTCAACTATGGAAAGTAGAGAAGAAGGAGAGAATAGGAATCGAGATTGGGAGACGAAAGGGTGAAAGAATCATGTCATGTGCCTTTGTTTTCTTTTCTTTTTGTCTTCTTCTTCTCGTCAGAAGTTGCTCACGTTCTCCGTTATCACGCCCGTTAACTTCGGGTTTGTGTTTACACGATCAACGGTCCAGATGCTTTGCTATAAAGTTAGACGGCGGTTTTCTTCTTCTGACGGTAGATGTGGATTCGACATTTTAAAAAGTGGCAGGGTTACGCCACGTTATTTATAAACCCCCCACTCCAAATTTTATACTATTTTATAGTATTTTAGTAAGTAAAATATTGAGCGGCTGTTATAATAAGAAGATCTGAATCAGAATTTTTCTCGAGCCCATAAAGATTTCATGTTGGGAAATTCAAATTCTACTAGGTGTGTGGGAGAAGATGCATTTCCAAAGAGGGCTTTAAAGATATCATTAGACTGGGCTGGGCCGTGACTGGACATAATCTAAGGGGAATCTAATATATATCTCCGGCCCTAGTTTTAAGTGAGATATGATTTTAATTCAAGAATATTGTTAAAATTTAGGCCCTAATTTTTTTTTGGTCAAAACATTATTATGCATTGAGTGCATTTGCACGACACATGGCAAGAACCGAGTATAGTTGTAGTAGTGGCTAGTGCATGAACTTCTTTCATTGTCTATGGGTGTACGAAGACATTACTCTTAGTCTTGTATGGCTATAGCAAATGACAAGGTTGATTTGACTTTCTTGGAGAGTGCCAAGCGAAAGATTGGTTTTGATGAAGTTTGGATCCAACAAACGTATAAAGTGCAAAAAAAAGAATAGAAAGTGTAAATTGTGGTTCCTAGGCAACCGGTATTAGAGAATAACAGATGCATAATTAAAACATATATAATGGTTTTACATTTGTTCCAATATTCATCGGGAATCTTCTCCTCCGCGTATCGTCCACATATCGATTTGTATTTCGTTATTACACATTGCACTTAAGAGGTCAAAAGTAAAAAGGTGAATTAAGGGAACCAAAGGTAATATTGCATGTGAGAAAAGTAAGCCAAAGAACATGAAACACAACAAGAAGTACACCAAACCAAACTAATGCCGGTTATACACTTGTATTTGCCTTTACATTCCTTTGTTTATTCCTTTTAAACTATGCACTTCTTTTTTCTTTCTTAATAATTCTGTTTTTAATACCAAAAAGATAACCAGACACAATATAACCATCAAGAAAATCTAGGTTATTGTTGTGACCAAAGTTCTGGTTTAATAGCTATTTTGCTTATAACAGTAACGATGAGTATATGTAAACTCCAGAATCATAACATATGTTACGTTGTTTATATAGAGAAATAATATATATGTCAGGAATATGAAAAGAAAAACTTACGTTAAGTTAAATCATTAATAAAAAAAAACTTAAATAGTTTCCATTAATCTTAGTCAATTATTTATTTGGAAAGGAAGATTGGAGTTGGAGTTGGCATGCATGGGCGTATAGAGGGAGTGTGAATGGTCCCCAGACGCAAAGCTTCCTTTGTCTTGAGACTCCGACCGGTGTCCGTGGTTCGGCCGACACCCACCTTCACCTGTCCTTCTCTCTCTCAATCTGTTCACGTTTCTTTTTCTCTTTTTGCTTTTTATTTTTATTTTAAATGAATTATATATACTACAATTCAATTATTAGTAATGTGATGGTATGCCACGAGAATGCAGCCACGCACACGAGGACACCACCATATCATCCTCTTATAACTTTTCCCCAATCATCTTCTTTCAATTTCTCATTTACATGTTTCTCGTAAAAACAATAACCTCGTCGAACTGATAGTTACTCATAGAACTTATATGAAGATTTGGCTAATCAAAATGTAAATCCTAATATGTAACGAGATGTTTGGATAGCTTCTAGATATTATTCAAGTATCTTTATTTTAGGGTTTTGAGTTTTCTTATACATGTTTTTTTGATGATTTTGATATATAAATAAAGATGTAAAAAAATTATTCTCGAATTAATCTTTGTTTCGGGGTATTTAAGAATCTAGACTACCAGTTTCTTATCCCTTTTCTCTCCATCAACATATATCATATTCTAACAATAAATAATATGCACATTTGTTCTATAGAGAAATTGCACATTTATGGTAAGGGGGTTGGGATGATTAGTTTCAAAAGTGTAGGGACAGAAAGACTATTTGGCTCTACGTTCACAAGTTGTGATCCACATATTTTTTCTTTCTTCTTCTTCGACAGGTATAATGTGACTCGATCCATTGCCTTCAACATAACTGGGACAACTAAGTCACAGTTGTTCTTTTCCTTCTTCTATTTGGGTCCATTTTTTTGTTACTTCAATTCAATGTCTATGCATTTAATTGGATAATACATAGCTCTTATCTATTCCACGTCCATTTTTTTACTCTAGTTTCATTAATCATCTTCAAAGGTTTGCTTGTTCAATGAACGGATTGTGCATTCGTGTTTCACGTCCCTACCCTATACTTTGTCCATCGTGTTGTAGGCCGGACGGTCCGGTTATATGCCAAAACCCTTGACATGGCCTAATTTGGTCAAATCATTGAAAGCAATGTTATAACGAGAAAAATCCAATGGAGATAAACGTAACAGAAGGTGCCAATGAGGGGAATTTGTGAGCACATGAGAGGAGTGGGCTTAGTTAATAATAGTATTGAGACAGCCCGATCGAGTACTAGTAGAACTGTAGAAGAGAAAGCAAACAAGCAAGAAGCATACATATTTTTAACGATTTATTCACTTTTTGTCCAAAAGTATATATATACACTAATTTGTTACTTACTCAGCATATGTATACATGTAGATATTAGCGCCGTATCAAAAATAATAGATTTTTAAGCGCATTATTAACATTGTTATCCAACGCATGAAATCTCTATTGTAAATAAAAAATTAAGAGTAAATGTTTTTTTTGGTTTTCAAACAAAATATTAACTTGTAGTTGTAGATAAATAATATACAGATTAAAAATAACAGATTCAGTTTACTTAGTCGTTGATTCAAAGGTTGCATTATAGCATACATTAAAATATTCATGAGACCCAAAAATGTGGTTGATAAAAGGTATGGCCCTCGCCTTGGCCACAAGCGGCACCTCACTCTAAGTTCAACCTTTGTTACCCGAAGTGATGGTTCTACGAAGAAACTGATCGGAATACTCTTTTAAGTATAATGATTGGAAAACTATTAGCGTGTTTTATGTAATGTATATAAGATCTTTCGTAACCTGCTCAAATACACATCTCGCATCTACTATAACCGACCGTGGTCCATGTATGTCTCTTGCTCGAACATGACAACCTTTTCTTTCCGCATCAAAAGTTTATAATGTAATTCTTAAGCAACATCATGTGCTGGTATTTTAAAATTTCTTCACATTTATTATACGTCATTCATTATATATTCGAATGTTGCCATATTTAGATTATATGATGTGTGAAAAAAATTGTGATTCTAGCATCAGCCTGTTTTTTTTTTTTTCATTTTGAATGAGATGATCAAAACCATTCTCTATAACAAAAGTTATTTGATTTTCTTTCGATTTGGTTATAAAAGTTAAATATTGTAATCATTTTCCTTATAGTCCTCGCTCTCCCTTGAACAAAAATACATAAAAAAATGTGTTTACATTTTATAGGAGGTTCAGTTAATCATGCATCGTTTTTTGTTGTCATCGAGACAATCCCCTTCTATCCAAGTCCCAAATACATGATGAAGTTACCGATAAATATATATATCTGATTCCGTGGCGAATTTTCGATAGTAACAAGAGATAACATAGGCTAAAAATAAAAATATTTAATAGTATTATACTTTCTCTATTTCAAAATAAGTGTTGTTTTAAAGTTTTATTTTTGTTTTATAAATAGTGTCGTTTTGTATTTCTAATACAATTTTTTAAATAAAAATCCTCTTTTAACCTTGTTATATTAATGTTTTAATTAGAATAAGAATATTATTTTATGTATAAATAAAAGGTAAAACAGAACTTTTAAAACTTTTCTTAATTTGTGTGAAAAATGTCAAAATGACACTTATTTTGAACAGAAAGAATACTATAATTAATTGAAATGGAGGTGCACGGAGCCCATTACAGCTTTTGTGCGACGCATGTTGGTCTAATGTGACTCTTAAACAGAGACACTGTTAATCTTGATAATCCATTTAATTATTAAATTAGCCGACCAGTTTTATGCCGTGACGGTGGATTAACTGCTTACAGACTTCTTTCGATTTGCGTCCCCTTATGTTCCCATCCAATACGACAAAGCATTCAATTAAATTCGGAGCCCAATCAACGTTTTTCCCACTAATTACTTACTTAATCACATACTATTAATCCCTGATTAGTGATTACTGCCATTGTTTCCCATCTGGATTAGGTGATAGAGTGTATGAACCTCTGGATTCGAATTTCGAAACACTACTATACTGTTAGAATGATATGCAAGTTGGAAATTATTAAAATTTCAGATAATTACATGCCAATAGTTTTCTTGAAAGGCAATCTTAACACGCCGATATATATTATTTCAAATCAAATATAAGATTTATAATATCACATGCTAGTAAAAGTGTTCTATCATTTTAAAGTAGTGCAAGTTAAAAGTTTTCTTATCGGTTTATTAATATATCAGTGATCGTGTATTATTTTTTGGGTTTTAGATGGTACATATTAGTTCATCATCCAAAAATGCAAATCGTCAATATGGATTTTCATCCAGTTAAATTAAAAAGTGATTTTTATACGTATTTTTATATCCACCAAATGCATGTCTTTTTTTTCGAACACCAAAATGCATTTCTTATATATATTTAATTTTAAGGGTCAATTAGCTGAAACCGGTCATTTTCAGTAATTACTTAATTATCATGAGGGAAAAATCGACCCGGAAAACGAGAATAAATGGCCGAACTCTCTATTCTCATTAAACTAATAAATGGCCGGATTATGAGCTAAAAACCTAAAACCGGTCATTTTCAGTCAATTTATGTTTATAGTATGGATTTTCTACTTTGTTGAAAAACAAGAAAACATACTCTACTTTATTAAAGTAAAATAAAAAAAAAATCAAAAGAAAAGGAAAGAAAACAAATAAAGAAAAGAAAAGGCTGCTTTTTTGTTAAACTTTATTATAAAAGCTTTTGACTTTTAGTTATCTTTTTGCCTTTTCTTTATCTTTTTTTTAATAATTGTTCATCATCCCTACACACTACATGGACTACTAATTATATCACTCATCAGCTTAATTAATGATAACACGAGATGATTTCAGTGCCAAAGCGCCTAACTCGTTTCTTCCACTACCAGTCTCATTATCACAGCAGACAAGGAGCAGTAAATCCACCCATTTAAAATATCAACAATTTAATAAGAAAATATTAATCTAAGATTTTACCAGAAACTCTTTCATTCTAAAAGAGTTACTATTTGCTTATCTGAAACTGGAACCAGGGAAGATTCAAAACCACACTTTTCTTTGCTAAAAAAAAAAAAATCTACACAGTAATTTAATCAATAGTTACCCGAAATCTAATCAAAGAACACATTAAAAAAAAAGTGAAAAAGGGACTTGTGTAAACCAAATAAAAGTTACAAAAATAATAAGTTGTCTTCTTCCTCCAATCTTTTTTATTTATCTTTATTTTGTCTCGTTGCCCCATGTTTTGCTCCTCCTTATCTGCGTCCCATTGTCTCACTCATATTATCTCCCAATTTTCTATATGTAAAAAAATATGGAGAAGAAAGGGTTTCTTGGCTTGTAATGTAGGCATCATCATCCTTAAATCATGCTACTCCCTATTTTTTTTTTTACTTATATACTCTAAGCTTCTTTTTAATTTGCTCCACCCACAAGTTTGAAACACTCTCTTGTTTCTCTTCTTCCTTCTCCCTCTACAATTGATCCATTTTGGAAGTTTCCATAATCAAAAGCTTATAATCCGAGTAGAATGTAGTAAACCAGCGTGATTGGAAGTGCTATAAGCATTCCGAATATCACCCTGCAAAATCATTCGGTTAATTCAACAAAAATATAATGTTAAAAAGGATAACATTTAGTAATCTTATGGATATAAATCATATAATCCATAACGTACCCTGTACTCAAAATAGCAGGATGAACATTGTACTCCTTTGCAAACACAAACGGCACAATCCCTTGAGGCAATGCAGCCTAAAACATACCAAAACAAAACACATTTTTATTATAAAAGCCGAAATGATTATGAAAATTGAAAAAAAAAAAAAAAAATCTTACCTGAACAATGGCTACACGTAGTAAATCACCACGCAAGCCAATGGCTATGGAGGCAACGGCCATCACAGCCGGACCCGTGAGGAACCTAACGGCCATAGCAAACGTTGCCACGGAGTTCCCACAAGCGATTAGTTTTGGTTGCAACGCCATGAACAACCCTTCACATTATAACATACAGTTTAATCTCAAAACTCTCAAGTCGATAAATAAATAAATAAATGTGTGTGTATATATCTAAGAAGTCCAATCAAACTCCCATAAAAATGGGGACCATGACGAGTGACGACTATCAACAACACGAGACCATGTCGTCCACCATTACCATTTCTCTAATAAGACACTCACACCTTTGCCCCACATGTCGGATGGTCCATCCCCAATTCTTTTCTTTAATTTTATTTAATTTAATTCACACTGTTAAAAGTTTCTTCAAAATGACAAAACAGCTTATCAATTCATGGACTTGCTGATTTATTATCATGTAAACGGGTTAATATGTCAAATTGTCAACGAAAATATGCAGAATTAAAGAATTTCATGGAATAAATTAACACGGTCCTTTTAAATGACTTAAAAAATGAAATTTCCAAAGGAATAAAAAAACAGAGTACGAAGATGACTTACCCAAACTGAACATTGCCATTCCAAGACCAGCATCAGATAGAATGGAGATAGATTGCTGAATGATTTTCGGCATTGCCACGTGCCACCTTCATATTCAAAACCAAATTAAACAAAAATTAATCCCGAGAACCGGTCGGTTCTAACTCAAAAGAAGCTTGATATTGCTACTAACCGGAAAGCGACAAGAGCCCAGATGAGACCAATGAGACTAGAGTATGTGTTTGGGTTTCTGATTAGCTTCCTCCACACCATGATCAGAATCAGCCTCGTCATCACGCTCGCCGGAGGCATTTGTTTCCCGTGACTTGCTTCGCCTCCGAGTCCTGTCTTCGATTGCAGCTCCGCCGTGGAACTAGGAGCAAGTTTGTTCAACCCGTTCTCGGCGTCTTTCGCTCTCTCTCCTTCTTCTTCTCTTCCGGCGAAACTAAACTGTTCACCTCCGAAATCTCCACTTCCCGGACGAGCAATAGCTACAGTTAACCACACACAAAAAAACTCAATTTAGATTTTATAAATTGAAAAATGTGGAGGAGTTTTGGAAATTATAGAAGATTTTTTGTTTAAACCTTTGTTCTCGCCGTTCTGAGATTGGTCAGGGACTAACATTCGAATCTCTTTGGCACCTTGATCAGATCTTCCACCTTGTTCGTTGTTTGATCCCGAATCGGGTGCTCCACCGAAAACGTTAAGACCCGCCCGATCCGAAACGGGTGACCCGTTGGAGCTCCACACGAACATATGTAGTTCCTTGGCGCTCGCGTCATTATTGTTAGGTTTACCGCCGGTTGGAGGATTCGTCGTGGAGATGTCTTTCGGATTTTTATTGACCGCTTTGTTGGCTGTAGACGTGGCAGTGGTTGATGAGAACTCCGGATTCGGAGCCGGGTAAGACCCGGCTCCACCTCCTCCTGGATAATATCCGAATCTTGGGGAGGAAGCCATCGCACAATTCTCCTCGAAGTTGGAAGGTCGAGGAGTGGGACCCCTCGAAGACTGAACGGAGTACATATCGGCCGGACCGAAATTGGAGAGCCGGCCGCCGGGGAAACCCATCATCGAGTAGAAGTCGGAGTGGTTGAAATTAGAGCCTCTAGGAGTTGTGCTGAGGCTGTAAATCTCAGCTCCGGTGAGATTCGACGGCCGTGGAGTCATGTTAGGCCCACAGAACGACCGGCGTGAAGCGTTTGATTTCCTCACGGTGACGTGAAGCTTCCCGTCGTCGCCGATCTCCGCGTCGGTCTCGAGAAAATCGTGGCCGTCGAGGGAAACGACGTCGGACTCGACTTTGAACGAAACGATGGAAGCGGCAGTTTCCGGGAACTGCTCCATGATGAGCATCTTGGCGCCGCGAAACTCGAAGAGGAAAAGGAGGAGCGTGTACCAGATGATACACTGGAGGACGACGACTTGGACCATGAGCGAGCCGGCGTATTCGCCGTACATGGCGATCAAGAGAGGGATTCCCATGACGAGCGTGTTGGGAAGTGTGGAGAGGGAGAAGATGGTGATGCTCCACTCGAGGCTACCGGAGCGGGTGAAATTAGCCCAGAGGACCAAGAGCGCGAGCATGAGGACTTTCTGGAGAGTGTCGGCGGCGATGAAACGGAGGTTCATGGCGTAAGGGTTGTTGGTGGAGATGAAGTGGAAAGAGAGGAGAGGGACGGCGAAGATGGCGACGAAACGGTTGATTCCGGAGCATTGGTCGGGAGAGAAGATCTTCCACCATCGGACGGAGCCGTAGGCGAGGATCATAGCTACGTAGAGAGGAATCACGGCCGTGAGGACCGTGTAGAGGTCGTGCCATGAGATCATATTCTCTCCGGTGGAATATATAAATGAGCAAAATTAGAAACAAGAGAGAAAAAAAATTGAAAACCGTTAAGCAACTGTGTGAGAGATTTAAGAAGATGATGATGATGAAGAAGAAGAAGTGGGGACTTGGAGCAGTGTGTGTGTGTGTGGGAAGGAGTGAGCAACTTTGAGGATATAATTTAAGGAGCGATGGCCACTTTACACCTCTTTATACAGCAAATACTTGGCGACCCCAAGTTTCTTTTTTGTTAATTTTTATTTTTCTTATTCTTTTGTTAAATTATTTATCATTTTTTTTAATTCTAGTTGTCATCTCATCATAGAATAACCAACATAATGTATTCGGTAAATTTGTTAAATAAGAAGTTTAGTGTTTCATTTATTTGGGTAAATGACTAAATGGTAAACATGGAATATGTTGTTTTCGTACGGTTTGACTAAAATGTCTCATTTATTCGTGCATAATTGTTGTTTTTAGACTTTGTAAATGTAAAATGGACAAGTATATTTTATAGACCCAGAAAAAAATGGAAAATAAAAATTATGTAAGTCTGCAACAGTTTTACTTGTACAAATAGCATCTAAAGTTAGATCTTAAAAGAAGGTCTACATGTGGCACTCAACTTATGGAGATGGGCATCGCATCGCAGACATACCTTTTCTCTTCTGTCCCCTTCTCTTTGCTTTTGTATATTTTACTTCACATTCTCTAATTTAAATCCATTTTCATAATACGAATAAATGACGAATATCAATATCAAATTTTATATATCAGCATTACTAAATATAAAAAAAAAAATAGTACCTTTGTACCCCCCCTACCCAATAATGAAAACCAATATTTTAACAACAGAAATAAATTTTGAATCTGTTTTGGGTATTTAACAATTAAAAGAAAGAAAAAGAAAATTAGAAAGTAATCATTAAAAAATTATGGAGACAAGATGGGCTGGAGACAAAGAAGATCCACTAAAGAATTGGATGGCTCAAATGGAATTTGGCTAATGGCGTCGAGTGTGTCTATATGTTATTGTTAGGTTTACTCATTTGTCCCGTGAAGTAGGCAACACTCAATTACTCATCAGATGAACATATGTATAATTTAACCTATAGTCTCATCATTTAGCTACGTTCTAATTCCGCGTTATGATATTAGTTTATACATCGCGTCTCAGTTATTTGTTCTGATAAAACTCAAATCTGAATTCAGCATAAAGAATACCGTATAAGTTTAGTTAATAATATATATATATATATGAAGAGAAATGTATTATATTTTATTCTCATAAAACTTTTTCCCTGAATGGGTAAATCTACCTTTTTAGTACACAACCAAAGTTCCATATGAATAAATATGGTTGAGACAGAGAATGTCGTGACCTTCTTGTGATTTAGTGTGTCTGTATCTTTCTGATTGCATAAATTATCACACTGGATAGAACTTCTTCGAATATGTCCAAACTCGAATGATTAATTGCGGTTTAAGATAAATAAAATCTGCCGTCCTTGCAAAAACCAAATTATACACAAACGTCCTTAATAATCTAACTATTTTTTTCAACTCGATTCAATCTATATAAAAATAATTGGCCACAATTAACCGAAAATATAATCCTAAATATCGGCATAAGATTTAGGGAAATTTTGGCAGCACTTCATATGTCAGCGTAACCATTTTCACTAACTAGAAAATATGTCCAATCTCTCTAAAATTTATGAAGTATGCTGTAATTTATAAGTTTAGCTAGTACACAAAGATATACAAAAAATAAGATAATACCACATATATATATTATGAACAAAAGGTTATAGTACCCACAGTGTATTACATACACAAAGGTATATTGTTGGAACTAATTTTCGGTAATCCACATATAGAATCGCATCCGACGAAGCCAATAAACCACCAATCTTTAAGAACATCTAGCGAAAGGTAGATCTCAAGACCAAACTGTTAGGGATAATTTTAGAGATGCTGGCACTTTATATCGCGTCTCCTATAGCTTTGGAAGGCATGCATCACACCCACACATCTACATTCATGTCCTCAGAGTCTCTTGCTTATTATCCCACAAAACTTTTTATGCAATTTTGGTTTCATGATTCCTATAATTGCTTTCAATCTCTCACCATAAAGCATTAATTAATATACCATCACATCAATATAAAAAATAGATTTATGTTTTTCCAGTTTTTCACTTTGTTTTTTTCTTTTAAATTTATGGTTATATACTTTTTATAAACCCACAATATGTATAATAATATTAAGAGTGTCCATGAAATAGTCAAACTTCAAGTCAAACTGTAACATAGTTTTTCTCCTCTGATATACGGAATTGAAGGAACGATAACGATATTTAAATTAATAAATATCTCTGAGATATGTACTTATCAACTGTTAAATGATAGCAATAAGGACACACAAACAACCACACACATTAGGAAAAGAAAGAACGGTGTTTGTGTAGCATAACCGATCTTAATAAAATTTAATATTCGATGATATATGGACGGAATATTGACTTAGATGATGGACTTTGACGTACCTATATGTTGAACAACTAACCGAGTTCACTAACATACACTTAATTGATTTTTACTACTGGTTTACAACTGCCTGATTAGTCTACTTTCCAGCCGTATTTAATTTTAAGGTTTTGTACACGTATTATATATTATACATGCATATATATGCACACGAATACAAAAATCGTAAGAAATGAACACACTTAAGAATTTGTTATTTACTGATACAAATCAAGTGTACAGTTCATTTTAGTTTTGTTCTTTTTCAAAACTTTTCTTCTGATCGAACAGAACTGGTTCCAGCTCTTCAAAAGAAGTGGCACGTAGAAGTGATTTAGACAATTTTGAAAGTGAACAATGATGGCTACTGGTGACTTAAACACGTGATTAAAGAGTATGAAATTTGTTGTAAACTTTTCAATTAACTCTTAAAAGAATGAATAGTAAAAAGTATGATCGTCAATTATTGATAAATAATCTGGGGACAAAGACTAAAAGTTCACTAGCAAACGGAGAAAAGAGGATGACAGATGAGTGAGTTGTGGTGAAAACATCAACTGTACATGTTATACAAAACGTACACGATTGAGTCTTCCTTGTAATCATCTTGATGATGTGAGTCGTTTTGTTTTTGGTACAATGCAAAATATTGAATTTAATCTACAGTAACATAATTTTTTTTTTAAAACCAAACAGTTATTTTTGAAATTGATGAAACTCATCTCTAAAACAACCAACAGTTTATCTTTTAAAATTTCTTAAATAGGATGTGTCTTGGTTCTACAGATACAATATCGAGAATCAAATAAAAATTAAAAATTAAATTCTAATTTGGAGAACGGATTAATACTGTACTTGTTTTTCTCACTAACAAAAGCTTTTTGTTCTTCTTTTTTCTTCACCAGCAAGGCAGCAAAGATAGTAGTATTGAAATTCAGACCAGTGAGACGAGTCCACATGGACATTGTCAGAAAACAGAGTAAAAGAGAGGCGGGACATTTGACACGCACGCGTCATGTCCATAATTAAAGCACGTGAAACGCACATGAGGCACTCCATAGAGTAGTAGAGAACATAATCCATTCATCTTCCTAATTCAGTAATTCCAACACACCTTCCTCTGTGACTCTAAGTTACGGCTTTAGCCTTTAATGCTATTTAGCCCATTGGACCTTTTTATTTTCATTTCTTGATTGGGCCAGAAAAATCCAAATATTATTGACATCGCGTTATGAAAGATGTGGTGACCAAAATAACTTTGGCAAGGAGAGGCGAGATTAGACCATGCTTCCATTACCTATGCAGAAACGGATTCTGAATATTTTGTCATAGAAGGTGAAAGTATTAAAATAAAATAAACTAAATAATGTATTTCAAACTTTAGGTTTGGAATCTAATTCATTTTCGAAGAGGTATATATGGTGAAATTTATAAGTTACGCAGGAGAATACTTGTTGAGGGAAGCATAATTCAATAATGAAATTTCCTCTTATAATGATTAAACTAGTTTTCGTATATGACTACATATTTACGTCCACCATTATAGACATGCTTTTACTTATCCTTTTTGTCAAAGTATACGCTTTTACTCACGCTGTGTTAGATGGCGGGGAAAATATTTACTTTAAAATAAAACACAAGTGTTTTGTATAAAAATGTCTAAAACATTGACCAATACTAGAGGAAGAAAATATATAAAAACAATTATTTGGAATGAGACATCAGCAGGTGCTTTAGGTGTAAATCTTCACCGGAATTCGATTTTAAAAAGCTAACGAATATATAGCAGCCTTATTTGATACTTGTGGAAGTCAAATAACAGTGACGTTAATTGATCTTTTTATAATCTGTCCGTACCAAAAAACTTTATTAACAGTTTTTTTATGTATTATATTTTTGTTTCTAGCTACTCTTGATCTATATATATCAGTTTAATTTTTAGAGAACTTCTCCGTATTTTCTATTTATTTAGTTTCAAATTTTACCACCCACATTAACCTATTTTTGCGAAGTATCATACATTCCTCATCTTACATTACAGACCAAATGAAGCATCTCTTTTTTTTTTTAGTAGAGATGGTGTTCAAATAAACCCAAAAGTTAGAGACAAACAATGTTATTTTGTAAAAATTGAAATTAAATAAAAACATTTGTAATGTGGGTTATACTGTTATAAAATATTTTTCCCCATCCACATTGTTCAAGTCAATAATACTACTCAATCCAAAAGGATATGAAAAATAAACATACACAAATCGATAAAAAAAAAAAAAACTATAAAACGAGGATGAAACAAATAATTAGAGAACTATGCACAAAATCCTCCTAATCATCATCAAATCTTTGCTCTTTATCCCCTAAACAGGCGTTTCAATCTTTGACTTTGACTTTAGCTTTGACCGAACCAGTCAACAGAGGGAAGAGGAAGAGGAAATTGTCATGCGTGACTGGCTGCTACGAGCTACTCCCTCCTGAACGGCATTAGAGCCATTATCTGATGCATCGGTCACACGTTCACACCGTGGACACATGGTTATTGCCGAGGCCGATAATGGCTTTAGAGCTCGTAGTTCTTCAACTTCTATTTGTAGCCGTCGATTTTGCTCCTTCAATGACCCGAACCATCTCTTCAGATACTCACATTCCATCTCCGTATGCTTTAGCTTACTCCTATTTATCAAATTTGGTGTAACCGACATTGGTTATTGTGGCCACATGCGTACGTACTATATTAGATATGCTTACGTCATTTGTAATTTCTAGCTTCATCCTATACCAACCATATGAATTATATTAATATATATTGAACGAGGTTGGTGTTTAGGAAATTTCTACTTTTGCGAGACTATTCAACCGACATTTACATATAACTATATATGTTTATATGCGTGTGAACTATGTGTTCACATGTGATACTATATAAGTGATTGCTTAATTGACCCGGAATGCACCAAAACGTAAGCTCATGATCTTATATGACATATTGTCCTAGAAAATGATTTTTACTTTCTTTGTTTTACAATTACTTCCAAACTCAAACAATCAATTTGTTTGAGTAAGTGATAAGTTTTCTTCTATAAAGGTCGTTTGAAAAATTCATATTATATTTTTTATGAAATCGATTATAATAGTAGAACGACATTTTTGTGAAACTGACCAAAAAAACATAGGACATTTTCAGGGTCTTCGTTCATTAACGTCGTAGAATAATGTTAGGTAATTCAATTCCTTCTTTATGGACTGTATGAACTAACATCCACGCAACATGCATGTATCTCTATATAAGTTTAAAAAATGTATCTCTATACTATATACATGCACAAATGTACGACATTAATATGTTGTATATATGAATATATTGAAATAGAGAGAGCATTGATAAAAAAGTGTATGTGTGTGTGTAAGTTTATGTTTCATTAAAGAAACATGTATACTATATGGGACAAACATCATAATTGTAGACTGGCCAAAGATGAGCGGAAAAAATAAACACATCATTCGTTGTCTCTAACTTTGTCCCTCATGACCTCTATCACTTTTTTCTTGTTGATGCATTTATTAGATTCTATATTATGATTTTTTATAATCACGGACATTTATATATAGACACGTAGACGCAAAAATAAGAGTACGGGCTTTTCATGTGTCGCATAAAATGCGTGATAACTATATATGTGGGAATCAACGTGAAACACTTGGATAAAAAAGGATCACTTCCACTTTACTACATTTTTCTAGATTATAATTGTATATATGCGGAATTATGTTGAGAATCTAAGTTACGATCTCACACAATCTCTTTTATATATAAATATTCTGTCAACGCACTCTCATTAATTAATATATTCTCAGCCACTAAAAAACTAATTCCAAAAACCCTACGCATATAACATGCCTCACCTCATAATCATATATATAAACTCAATTGTATACGATATTATATAAAATCTTAATTTTTCCTCGATTTATATGTATTATAAACTATGCAATATAATATACCAAGCGGTAGATCGAAACACGTACCGAGCTCTTCGATTTTGAAACCACACCTCAACTTGTCTTTGACTAAGCTTCAGAAAGGTGGCCAATTCTTGTTTTTGTTTCTATGGTTTCATAATCATCCAAATTAAAACATAATCAGCCGACTTGATCATCAGAAAATTAACTCTCTTTTTTTCTTCTCTTTTCAACGTAAGATGAATATATACGGAAGCATACAATTGTTTAATATAAACTTACAGGAGTCAAGGTATGATTTTGTATGAAACTCTCTTCAAGAAGATGTGATTGCTCTTTGGTTAGACGGAGCTTTTTACGCCGCCGTCCGCCGGAGATGCTATCTTCTCTGTGGACATGTGGTGTTGCACCGATCATGATCCACTCACGATCTTCTTCCATCTTTGGGATTTGGTTTATATCTAAATCTCTCACCATGTGATCACCTACCCAAAATTTTTATTTGGATCTTTATAAAAGATACAACTCTATATATATATGATTTTAAAAATAATCTTTGGATCTTACCAGATGAAGGGTGTGAAGAAGATGGAGAGAAGCTTGGGATTGATATTGTTAATTCTAAAGAGTGTGAATTAGGTGAGACGGCCATAGAGATGAGGAAAAGGGGAATCAGTAGAATTTGATGAAGAAGATAAATAATTTTTTTAGAAGAGAAAAGGTAAAGTTGAAGACTTATATGATAATAGAAATGTGAGTGTGTTGTGTATGTGTCTGTGTGTATATACACATGTGAAAGAACAAAAAGAAAAAAAAGCCAGACAAAGGAGAAAGATTTTGTGATAAGCGTGGAATATGGAATAAGGAATTAAGCCTGATAGAAATATTAAGTGCCAAGAAAAAAATAAAGTCTCAAAACACGACAAAAGATTAAAAGTTTCAAGCAGGTCAAATGAAGGAACAAAAATTAAGAGAGAAAATACAAAAAAGAAAAAGAAAAAGGAATCGAGAGAATTATGAAGAGGTGTGTTTACGTGTGATTGGTGAATTTGGAGAGAAAGAAGGGGTTTGACTAGTGTCGTTAAGTCAAATCATATTCGTATGAATATGATCACTTATTACGTGTTTTACCAATTTTAAATTTCAGAGTTATTAAATTCATAATGGCTAAGTGTGGGACAGTAACGGGTAGCCAAAGTGTCGTTACAAATGCTATATAGTCTTTAGAAAAATGAGAATGGTCTTTAGCTTAAATAAGTTGATCTTGTTATAAATGTTAAAACCGTATAGATTAATAATACTGTATTAAAAAGTTCGAAAAAAACTGAAAAGCGATAGTTTGTAGAAATATATCAAAGTTTAATAGTACTATAACAAAATGATTTATATATATAAATAATAAAATGTATTATCATCATAAGTAAGTCAAGACTATAAAAAATGCATATATAATAATTAATAAACACACTATACTTATGCACATAATTCAATTATATAGACGAAAAAGTTTTAACCATTATTTCTAAGTTTTTAAAATTTGTTATAATTAACTCGTTATAATTGGCATGCATGACCCAAATTTTCCCAAATGACTACACATATTTATTGGCCACTCCTCCAATACATCCATGCCTTTTGGCTTTTGTAACCAAAGTGGAGTTGCTCTGGGCCCCACTACCTGCTTTTGTTTTTTTAGCCGACCTTGAGATATCCGGTTCACTATTTTCCTCCGGTTCTATTAAAATCAATTTCTCTCTTCCCATAGCTCTCCGGTTTGATCACAAAGTTCAACCAAAGTTCAAAACCAGTTTTATTGATTACTTACTCTCTTCGTTCTGTTTCAATGCTTAGCTTCTGTAAGATCGTATTCGTACGGTCGGTCCTATTTTGGCAACAAAGGTTAATACTCTACTTTTAATGGAACTCTTACAGGATTCATAAGTATTGTAACTTTTGTGTTCGTTGAAAAATTTAAGAGTATATTATAGAGAGAGAAAAGCAAAAGTACTGGTCTTTACAATATTACAAGAGCGACTTGTTTTGGTTTCATACATTATACACTGAAGATGAGAAGACTACAATGGTAACTCGTTATGTCGGCTGATTATGAGCTCAGTGAAACCGTGGTTTCTCCGAACCAAGAATATGGCAGCGCTTCCACAATTACTCGATTATATATATGATACTGTGGAGAGCTACTGAAGAAGCTTATTGCAAGTTCCGACGCCAATGGCTGCAGCGAGATGCCAACCGGCGTGAATGAATGGTGTTTCAGGGAAAAGATCATCGGCGATGAACAAAGCTCCACCCAACAACGTGGACATCTTGTGTACGTTATGAGCCGTTTTCAAATCTGGATCCTTTAGTGCTCTTTTCGCAAATATGACCTGTTGTCAAAAGTGTTAAGAGTTGAGCTCACAGTAGTTTCAAAAGTTAAGATATTTGTAGTTTACCTCCATCATTCCAGTGTGAACAGCTGAGACCACGAGAGGCTGGAACGGTAAAGCCAAAGCTGATGCAGCCATCAAGAACTTTGGGTTCTCTTCCCTAAGAGCCCTCGATAGACACTGTAAGCTAATCACTATTTAGTCTTTGTTGTAAACTCTATGCATGTGAAAATGGGTGAAAAAAAAGTGTTAAAAAGACTTTACTACTGTCGCTGTGGCTATCATTGTGTAATCCGCCCATCTTAGGTACTTCCTCAGTTTCCCTCTTGAAGAATGATACAAACTCGATGCGATTCCTACTCCGATTAGTGAGTTTGCATACACCTTCATGTTCAGGTTTTTCCTATAAAATAACCAATGTTTCTTCCAAAATCCGTTATCTTTTTCTGGGATTCTGTATCTGTAGTCAGATGAAAACAAGAAAGGGTGATGATACCTTGGTGTCTGCATGCCGAGGACAACGAAAGGGAGCGATGTGATCACATTAGCAGCTGTTTCTAAGAGACTCCGATCACCTGTTCAAGAGTGTTACATACAGAAATTTGAATATCAAAAGATGGATACAACAGCTTACTCATCTGACAAAGGAAAAGTTATACCGTGGATGCAGCAATGGATGGGTCTTAGGCATGGTGGTCTTTGTTGCCAAACACGTCTGCAGAAGATAGAAAAAAAAGAAGAAGGGCACTGAATCAAATCAGACACAGCTTCGAACATACAACTCCTTAACATAACTCTCAACAAGACAAATCAAACTTACTCAATGAAAAGACTCTGTTTTGTTCCTGCATCAGAGGATTCAAAGCAAGATACTTTGCTGATATGTTCGTAGGCGAAAGGCGAATGAGAAACCACATGAACCCCATGGAGACCTTCAAGGGATTTGCTCGTCTTTGATACGTTTTGAGGGCTCATGTGGACTTTTTTTTTTTTTTTTTTTTTTTATTTGGGATTTCAAGAGCACCACGCAAAAATCTCTGCTAGCCAGCAAATTACTTGCTGGTCTAGCCTCGCTTTTGCTACTGTTTTTATTCAGCTGCTCTGATCAAACCAAAAGATTTCACATTAAGGCAAAAATGAAAATAATTGCTCAAGAAACATTTATCAATTAACCAATAATCTGTTCATCAAAGTTTCTTTTTTTATCTTGAGATTATCATCTGTCATCTAAAATTAGAGTTTGTTCAACTGCGAACAAACAAGCCACAATTTTCTCAGGCTGTTTTCAGTTTCATATCAAAATCGTAGGGCTAATAACACTAGCTAGCAGAGAAAACAGTTGCACGAGTTCGTAAATTCTGGGTTTCAGTTCATCCAAGCATGCAGAGATTTAGCTCCAAATCAAATAAATATGGAAAGAATTAGCAATTTCGGGTAACGGCTATTAACATAACCGTTTTAGAAGGAAAAAGAAAGGAGACAAAGCGAAGTATGATAGAACCAAAGAACAGACAAATTTAGCTCAGGGAAAGGAGCCGATGGTACAAGAATATGCGAGATTTGAGCAGAGAACAAACCTTTTACACAAGTCGAACCTCAAGATAAGAGAAAGAACTGATAAAAGTTGAAGTAACAGAGAGAAAAGTTGGGAAAAAGGAGAAAAGGAGAAGAAGAAGAAGACGAAGATTGACAGTGAGGGAGATGAGTCACGAATCTTCTTCCTTTGACTCTTAAGGCATATTCTCTTCCTCTTGTTTCAATTTGTAACAGTCGGCCGTTTCTCATACCGGATCCCGGTTTAATCCGATTCTATGTTTAGTCTACGATATGGGCCGGAAATGGATCGAGCCCACCAGTTTTGATGCTCAACGAAAATGGCAAATTAGATATTTTGGGGAAAATTTATTTATATATGAAGATATGTACTCATGCAGACTACTGTATGTATAGTATTCTTATTTTTATATAATTAAAAACTACTGTGTATTTGCAAACTGCTCTTAACGAGAGGCTTTAGTTTTGGATAAACAGATATTATATAATAAAATAGTTCAATTTTTAATGCATGCATATTTATTTATAGGATAAATCTGCGAAATAAAACTTCTAGTTTATTATGTCTTAAAGGTACAAAACATTCAATTTTATAAAACAGACGAAATTTACTAAAGTAATCACAGTCAAAGTTTATCTATGTATATTATTAATGCTATCTATGCCCAAAGAAGAAAAAAGCTTGAGAGCGACTGGTGTGCCGAAATTAATAAGAACACACATTCTTATGAAATGAAACAAACTTCGGTAACAATTAACAAATGGGGCATTTATAAATGAATCTCTTCGACCGATACTTGTAGGCTTAATAGCTTAGAGAATCTTTGGGACTGCTAAAATAGTTGCATCATAATTAGACCGTTATGTATCGCGATAATACATTTATGCGAGTGTTGTTATAGTCAAAATTTAATGTAACACACAAATATTTTAATCTAGTCTTACACTATTCCCAAGAGTTTTTCAGACGTTGTTTTGGTCTTCGTTAGTTGACAAAAAAACAAACCAGGTCGTAAAAATTCAAGTTTCCGCCATGTTTTTCATCTTTATTATGTCGGCCTTCGACGCTTCTACTCTTGAATCCATCGTGTCTTGCCCTTTTCTTGATACAATATTTGAATTGTTCTTTCTTTCTAAATCTAAATAATTTGTTGGTAGTTTATAAAGAGAGATATATATACAATAAAAGCGGGAGTCACTAATTTATTAACACACGTTGTAACAAGTGTGTGATAACAATGGATTCAAGAGCCTAAATTGTAGTGGACTTAGTTTTTTTTACCATGGAGCTGACTTCTCACTAACGATAGTAATCTCGGGTGCTTAATCTAAACGAAAACAGACAAACAAAAAAAGAGTAGGAAACATTTATTGATGTGACTGCGTATAAAGAGGGAACGGTAAAGAAGAGAGGCAGATGAGAGCAATAAAGAAGATGGACAGTGTCACAGCCCTGGCCTGACCATTTCTCTTCTCAATACGTATGCTTTATACAAAATTATACTAACTGGTCATTCAATTCCTTCATTTACTAGTTTTAAATGTTATATGTGTAGAAGAAAATGCTAGATGAGTGACGACACAAATTTTAAAAATAAGTGATATAGTCAGAGAGAAAATATGGATGATATGAATAAAGATATAGAACTATATTACTTTGATCATTTGTTAACTTTTTTACATTCATTTCTCACTGAATAGGAACATTTTTGGAAGAGGATTTACTTTTTTGTTCTTTCTTTTATCGCCTGGGGCAGTAAATGTATGTGTTTAATACGTATAAGTATTATTATAAATGGTTCAATGTAAGTGGATATACCCTTACTAAAATCCAATGCTTTTCCTTAGAAACGAATGATATGATTGAATCCGAAGATGTCACTGGTGACATATTCACTCGAGACCACGGTTTTATACTAGTTGTAAATAGTTGCCCTGAAATTTTCGAATTCGACTTTTTTATTCAAAAAAACTATTATAATAAAGTATATTGGTGAGCTTTCTAATTAAACATAATAGTGCTAACTACGTTGGAGGTGGACGAACTTTTGTACGCTTTTGCAGATTTGTCAAATGAATAGTCATGATGAGCAGTTGATTTTTATCTAATCTTAACTTTTTGGGTACTCAAAAATAAATAAATAAAATGGTATTGGTAATACCGTAATAGTAATACTAGTGAGAGAGAGAACTATTCATACTACTCAATTGGTAGGGGTAGGTATATGTTACTTATGACTTTTGAGCAAAAATAAATTATTTGGATTTATGAAGACCGATGCTGAAGAAGAAATGCTAATGATTCAGAGCTAAAACCATACCATATATTCTTGAAACATTTTGCACAAAAAATAAAAATAAAAATTCTTGAAACATTACACACAAAATGAAGGAATTCAACACAATTCTTCTGGAATATGAAACACAACGACATGACAACTGTGGCCAGCACTTAACCAATCCACAGTTTTTTCTTTAGTTATACAAAGAATAAGACTAACTAAAGAAAAAACTGTGATAATAAAAAAAAAAAAGAACAATAAGATATCTTTAGTCTCTTTATAACGACAAAAAAAAAAAAAAAAAACTAGTACCATGGTTCTTAGTTTTATTGGAAAATTAAATAAACGCATAAGTGATGTGTAATCTTTAAATTCTTAATACTAACATTTATAGAGTTCCATATTATCAAACTAAATCCTGGACTAAAAGCTAAAATGTTTCTATGGTTCATGAAAATACGAAAAGAAGGATTCAAACTTACAAAAATCTATGACCAACTCGATTTTACACTAAGGTACCTTTGGATCGCGATGGGCGTTCCACGTTTGCGTCTTGCATTTTGCTTGTATCCATTGTAGGGTGGTGGGTGTGGAGCGTAAATTGACAATTATAGCAACGCGTAGAAGTTAGTTGTGGAGAGGATTGGGACCCGTGTGAACTACTCTCTTGTCGTCTTCATAAATGTTATCTTCTCTGGTCAATGGCCCACGAAACGGCATCGCTGCGAATACCAGAGTCTTTCTAGGCGGCGAGACAAAGTGACGACGAGAAGAACCAACAGAAGCAGAAGTGGACAAGCCTATCTGAAAGATAACAAAGACGAAGAAGAACCACTTGATCATCAACACGTCCCATCTTCGAATCTTCTTTCGTTGTCTCTCTCTTCGTACCAACACGTGAGTCATCTCAGAGTAACAAGAAACAGACGAACATGAAGACAAATAAATCAACTGGGACAGTATAGAAGTCAAAGCCTCGAGACTTTTTTTTCAAAGAAAGAGAGAAGAGAGAAGAGAGAAGGAGAAGGAGAAGAAAGAAGAAAAAGGGTTTTTGGAATTCAACTTTTTGTCTTGTGGGTAAAAATAAGATTTTTGACTTGTTATAGTTGGTTTATTTCAGTGATGGGTCTTTGGATCCTTCTAAGATCTGCACTGTTCTTTCCTCTAAAAGGCAAAAGCTTTACAAGAATTCTCTTTTTCCCTCTCTCTCTCTCTCTTTCTTCGTATCGGTAGTCGTAAGCAAAGAGAGAAGTGTGTGTGGTCTGCAGAAGAAAGTACGGCAGGCGGTATTAATAACGGCTGTCACCTCTTTGTGTTTATTCGAGGGAAGAGTCTTCGAAAGCACTCTCCTCTTTTTACCAGTATTTTGTTCGTTTACTATTATTTTCTTTGAATACTAGTTTCCTAATTCTGAGTTTTGACGTACTAATAATAATTGTAATTAGGGATTTTCTTGGTAATGGTGATGAGTTTAGTATAGCTTGTATACACATTAGGCCTGGGCACGAAGCGGATATCCGGAATTTTAGTGATATCCGTGATCCGCTCCGCCCTGTACGGATTAACAATTTTTTGATCCGTATTTGCTCCGTTACTAATCGGATATCCGGTATTCGGATATCCGTTAAAATCCGGATTTTTGACTGGATATCCGATCCGTTTCAAAAGTATTAGATTAATTATAAAATAAATAAAATTATTTATAAAAATAATTAAAAAGTCAAAAATTAACTTATATATTAAATTTTAAATTGTTCTTATTAAAATTTATTAAAATTTCGTATTAAAATAACTGATAAAATAAATATAAATTCACAAAAATTTACATATAATTATATTAACTATACATTCTATATGTAATTAATTTTATATATACATATATATATATGTATATCGGAGCGGATCGAATATCCGACTCTTAGAATTTTAATATTTGTGATTTGCTCTGTTTTTAACGGATATCAAAATTTAGTATTTGCTTTGCTCCGTAAAGCTACGGATATCCGGATTTTTCGAATCGAATCGAAGCAAATAACAGATCGAATAAAATATAACGGATAATTTGCCCAGCCCTAATACACATATTATACTAAATGGTGTAACTGTAACACATTGGCCAATGTTCTTCGGAGACATTGACTTTGTGGGTTGAGACAGCTCACTCTGTTTAAAATATAGTGAAATCTAGCACCCTACATTTCTTTTAGTTATCGGTTGGTTTGTTTCGGTCAAAGTAGATGAGATTGGAATAGTTCTAGTCAATATTTTAATTATCTATAGTATTTTTCTGAGCACCATTTATTATCTGGGTTTAAAAAATAGACACTGGGCCTTTTAGTTGATGAAAAATAAAACAATATAGAAACCTAATTATCGGCCCATTATTTTGCGTTAGAGCCCAGTTGAAATTGATAATTTAGGAACCAACATCGAATACAAGCAGTACAGAGACATTAATTTAGGTTGAACCATATGTGACTTTCCTAAGGTTATATTATTAAGTACCATCGTTCTCAATTTCAAGATGATACACATATTTTACCCTACCACTATCTCTTACCATATTTGATTTCTTACCGTAAAAATCTTTTATCAATTTAAGTGACCGGAGGAAAACCTAAATCAAGTTTAATAGCGAAAGAAACAACGATGCGAATGATGTGTTAAATATAGATGTGAAAGGAACGACGTGAATGGTGTGTTTGTTCAATATAATTAACTTTATGAACAATGTAAATAGTTTGGCACCTTAAAATATTGGGCAGGTGAATTATTATGATAGAAACGTGAATCAGTGATGACACATGTTGTCACAAAACTAATCATGATATTATTTTAATGACAAAAAAAATGGTTCCATTCTTCAACACATGCTCACTCATTGCTCTACAAATAGAGGCTAAAACACTAGCAAGATAGCTCACTACTCTCCTAAAATCCTAACCATTTTAGTAAATTAAGATAAGCAAAAATTCATGGCAGGAGCATCTAGTTTGGTCGGGAAGCTTGAGACAGAAGTGGAGATCAAAGCTTCGGCTGGAAAGTTCCATCACATGTTCGTTGAGAGACCACACCATGTCTCCAACGCAACTCCAGGCAACATTCAAGGATGTGATCTGCACGAAGGCGACTGGGGCAAAGTCGGCTCTATCGTCATCTGGAAATACGTTCATGGCAAGTCAACTTTGTACACTTAAAAAGAAAACAAATCTATTGATTATAAACTGAAATTAATTTAATTAGACTGATTTATGAAGTATGCAACCGTTTATGTAGTGACACAAAGCAACGTGTCTAGGATAAGCTGAGACTTGTCTCTAAACTACTTTTTTCTTCTTCTTAATAACTAGAAAATTCCAAACTAGAAAACTAATTTCCATCAGAGAAGATACGCGCTATGTGTATTCTCTAATTCCAAAATGAAACCTAATATCAACTAAATGGTGCAGATGGAGAGGCAAAGGTGGCGAAGGAGAGGATTGAGGCAGTGGAACCGGAGAAGAACTTGATCACGTTCAGGGTCATAGAAGGTGATCTGATGAAAGAGTACAAGAGCTTTGTGATCACGATCCAGGTGACCCCTAAGCGTGGAGGGCCTGGAAGTATTGCGCATTGGCACCTCGAGTATGAGAAAATTAGTGAGGAGGTGGCTCACCCTGAAACTCTCCTTCAGTTCTGTGTCGAGATTTCTAAAGAGATCGACGAACACCTCTTGAACGAAGATTCAGGGATTGCTCCTCGTGTGGCTTTGTAAGTGTGTGGGGCTTAAGCATATGCCTACTTAATATATCGGCTTTCATACTGCAATAAATAACGAGCCGTGTCCGAGTTTGGGTAAGAGATATATGTTGCTGTGTCGTGTGTGATTGTATGCATACTAGTAGTAGTATACGTACTACTACTTAAGTTTGAAGTTCTTAATTAAAAGTGATGTACATGTAGCTAGTATGGCTACAATTCTACTATCCTCTACGTTGATGAATAATATAATGTTTTATAGTATATGTTTCGGAGTAGTTTAATCACCACCTTTCTCCAACGTGATTTAGTGAAGATATTAAGATAGGCCAGCGAGAGAATACAAATGAACTATGATGAAAATCACCATGTAAATACCAATAACAAAATATTTTGATTTTTAAAAATTCATTTACCTCAATTCATTTTATTCGGCTTATATATATATATATATATATATATATATATATTCGGGAAAACATAATAATTCTCTTTTATCATCATATGACAGCAAGAAAAAGTGGACTTGCCTTATCCTGCCAGGAATTTGGCCCATAGAAATCGTGGAAACCAGGAAAAAAAATATAATGATAGTTACTATTTTCCTTTAGCAAAAAAAAAATGATAGTTACAATAATATCAAATTTAACTTTCACTTTGTGAAATACGCAAATAGTTTTGCAAGCAGATTAAACGTGATCAGTGCATGGGGCCATGAAACTATTCATGATAGTATTTGGATGAACAAAAACTCTCGTTCTATTCTTTACTCTTCAAGCACTTGCCGACTCATTCCTCTATATATACAGGCTAAAGAGCTCACAAGATAACTCACTCCTCTCCTAAAATCCTTACCTTTTCTTTTCTTTTTCTAAAGCAAAAATCATGGCCGAACCGTCTAGGTTGGTGGGGACGCTTGAGACAGAAGTGGAGATCAAAGCTTCGGCTGAAAAGTTTCATCACATGTTCGCCGAGAAACCACACCATGTCTCCAAAGCAAGTCCAGGAAACGTTCAGGGATGTGATCTGCACGAAGGCGAGTGGGGCAAAGTAGGCTCTATCATCATCTGGAACTACGTTCATGGCAAGTGAACTTTTAACACTTGAAAAAAAAACAATCTATTCTAAACCAAATTGAATAAGACTAATTTATGAGGTGTACTTTGATTCTAGACTGTCACTAAACTACTATCACGCTATGAGTATCCTCTACAATACAAAAATAAAATTAAACAGTACATCATTTGCATACATTATATATGCTTATGATATGATATGTTTTTGAATGAACAATCATGTTGATTCTCAAAAATCTAAACATATATAAATAAAATATTTAATAATCGGTTCAGATGGAGAGGCAAAGGTGGCGAAAGAGAGGATCGAGGCTGTTGAGCCGGAGAAGAACTTGATCAAGTTCAAGCTCATAGAAGGTGATCTGATGAAAGAGTATAAGAGCTTTGTGTTCACGCTCCAGGTGACCCCTAAGCATGGAGGGCTTGGAAGTATCGTGCACTGGCACTTTGAGTATGAGAAGATCAGCGAGGAGGTGGCTCACCCTGAGACTCTTCTCCAACTCGTTATTGACATGTCCAAAGAGATCGACGAACATCTCTTGGCCGATGAATTGGAGATTACTCCTCGTGTGGCTTTCTAAGTGTGCGCGTCTGATAAGCATGTGCCTGCTTAATGTTGGCGTGTCATGCAAATGCATACTATTTATGGTAAAGTTATGTTTGAAGTTCTTAATTTGGAGCGACGTGAAGAAGGAGTATAGCTACTAGGCTACTTTAAGTTTATGTATGCTACTATACCCTCCATGTACGTTGGTTAATAATAATATGATATTTTAAAAAATTAATCCCCGCCTTTCTACAGCATGAGTTAATGAAGATAGTAAGAAAACACATCGAGAGGACAACTATGATGAAATCGGCATGCAAAAATTAGCCGTACTAAACGTAGGATTGGTCCTGAAATATACGAAACACAAAATTGAAACCTTGGTTTTAAGGTTGTATATGCATATTTGATATATTGGTGAGACATGATGATCATGTGTTTACAAAGTGAAAGGAAAAACTTATAAATCCACTTGAAAATTGATGGTCGAAATGCGTAGACAATAATACATGCTTGTAACTGTCTAGATTGAAATTGATTGCTTCTGTCATTTTCAGTGTTATCAACGTATGCGGGTCTACTTTTATTCTTTTCAAAGGATGTCTTAAAACGAGTGTTTAAACAAATGCTAGGTTCCAAATAACGCATAATTAATCTAGACAATTTTAGACGGTTTAGGTATATCAGTATATGCAAAAAAGTAATATTATATATATATATATAGGTCAAGAAGTATAATATATATATATATATATATATATATATATATAACATTCAAACGAGATTTAAAAATATCTAGAACTATTTCGATTGAAAGAGAGAGACATATCTAGTGAAAGTCAAAATGTTGTTAAAAATAGTTTGGCATGCAAATAAAACGTGAATGGTGTTTTGTTCTATAAAATTAATGGGCTGCTTGATTGTCACGGTCGGATTTTGAATCCGTGATCACATAATTCACATGCACGGGGCCAACAAATTATCCATGATTTTATTTGAATGAACAAAAAATCTAAATTACCAAACCAATCCTCTGATCCTAACTGGTACAGTGGTACTAAACCAACCATACATTGCGAGTCAACCACACTTTGAAATCGATATCAGCACTTTATACCGCCCAAATTATTTCTTCACTTCTAAAAAAAAAACTGTTAAAAAAAAAAGAGATTGGGACTATAAACGAATAAAATACCAACACGTGGTACATGCTTCAATAATATCTTTAGATATTTGAGAAATTAGAATCGACCGCGACGAGAGATATGGATACTAATTTGGCAGAGAGAGAAAGCTCGTAGCTTCAGATCTGCCATGGCAGTCAAGTTCGTAGCTTCTTCTTTCCACACGTCATTTCCAGTCAAACAGAATCGTCACGTGGCTTTCTCTCTCAGAAACTCCTCTCCTTCCTCTTCCTCTTCTGCTTCTTCGTCTCGGATCGCGAATGCTTCAAAAAAACCGGGTAATTTAGGAACTCATGGACCCGATCGGATCAATTACGAGGAACATCGTGTTTCCTTGATCCCTTCTTCGCTCTCTTCAAAGGCGATTAGCAGCCCTCGGAAGAAGCTACCCTTAATCTCCAAATCTCTGTTCGGTCAAAAGGCTCTGTGGCGGAAGATCTTGTTTACTTCAACGAAGTTTAGGAGCATCATTCTGCTCAACGCCATTACAATCGTTTATGGTAAGCGTCTTCAAACACAATGGCGTAGAGTTAAGGTGGAAGTTCATAAAGCTAATCCTCTCGACTTTCTCTGTTTGTAGCTAGCAATATCGCAGTCGTCAAAGAGGTTGAAGAGATCATGGATCCTGCAGCTTTTAGCGTCGTGAGGTTCGTCGTGGCTGCGATTCCGTTTACCCCTTTTGTTGCGCGGTCGCTGAGTGATGCCGAAACGCGTAACTCAGGGATTGAGCTTGGTTTCTGGGTTAGCTTAGGCTATCTGATGCAGGCACTTGGGCTTCTCACATCTGATGCTGGGCGTGCATCGTTTATATCCATTTTCACCGTGAGTCTTCTGAGTTCGATCAAATTCTTAGAAATGTTTGCAATAAGTATGAGAGACGATGAAAGTAAGTATCTTTGCAGATAATTGTGGTTCCGTTGCTTGATGGTATGCTTGGAGCTATAATCCCTGCACGCACTTGGTTTGGAGCTTTGATGTCGATATTGGGAGTATGGATGCTGGAATCTAGTGGCTCTTCTCCTTGTGTAGGTGCTCTTTAGCTTTCCTTGCAAACTAGCTACTACATTGGTTAGTTTAAACTCATTGCTGGATCATCTTTTTTCAGATTGGTGACTTGTTGAATTTCTTAAGTGCTGTGTTCTTCGGAGTCCATATGCTGAGGACAGAGCATATCTCACGAACTACAGCTAAGGACAAGTTCTTACCCCTTCTCGGCTATGAGGTCAGAAAAAAGCTCTGTGCTTTATAGTTACAGTGTGTTCTTGATGATGTGCTTTCATGGTCTAAGGGAGTTGTATTTGTATGTATGTATGTATGCCATATCTATTCAGACTTGTGTCGTTGCTCTCTCTTCGATGGTGTGGTATTTCGCTGGGACCTGGTCTACTGTCTTCCAAGGTTATGACCCGTCTTCATGGACATGGGACTCATCTTGGGAATGGATGGTCGCGTTTCCATGGATACCTGCGCTTTACACCGGTGCTTTCTCAACCGGTGTCTGCCTCTGGATAGAGGTAAGTAATCATTTTGCAGTTGTTGGTGTGTTATATACATTTTGGTGATATTTCTCTCGAGAATCAAAAATGTTCTGTCTGTGCAGATGACAGCCATGCGTGATGTATCTGCCGCTGACACAGCGGTGATCTATGGTTTGGAGCCTCTGTGGGGTGCAGGGTTTGCTTGGTTCATCCTTGGTGAGAGGTGGGGCACGGCTGGTTGGATCGGAGCCGCCCTTGTTCTTGGTAATGTAGTAATCTCAAGAACGAAACCGAGTCTATAACGTTTTAGTCGAGTCTTAGAAGTCCAAGATGGTATCTACTTTGTCTTCTTCTTTGCCGCTTTAATGAATCTTGGGTTGAATCCAATGCAATCAAGAGTTGAGCAGAAAAAAAGTAAAACATGATCTGATCAGTCTCTGGCTAATGATAAGCTTCTGATCCTCTGCAGGTGGGAGCTTAACCGTGCAGCTGTTTGGTTCATCGCCACTGCCTAAAAGCACCAGAGAAAGTAAAGAGAGCAGAGAAGACTCTGATTGTTCACCGGTTTCTGACAAACGTAAGCGCTTTTCTACCTCTCCCATAGTGGTTAGATCGCGAAAAGACAGAGTCTAAACTATAGGAGAAGTGAAAACAAGACTCTTTGCAGTTGTGACTTTGTACAAAGTCTCAAAGAGGCGAACCTTTGTTTGTGTTCCCCTGAGACTTGTAAACTGTATGTGAAATGATGTAAAGTTCCATGACAGTTTTGTGGATGGTGAGATTCTTGGTGAATCAATTCCCCAGAAACAGAGTCTTGTATGTGAATACAACAAAGAAACTAATAATATAAACTGGCGTAAATGCTAAGCATGGTACCGTATTCCGATACCAGATTCTTCCTACAGAAGACTGTAATTATATAAGCAGAGCTCTACACAAGACATCAATGAAGATCAAAACAAACAGAAAAAGTGATGGCTCAGATGGCGAAATCCATGATAGAAGTGGAGATCAATGTGTCAGCTGATAAGATTTTCCAAGCTATCAAGGCAACTTCGCGGAGTGTACCAAAGCTGTCTCCAGAGAAAATACTTAGCGTGGAAGAACAATTCGGTGATGGCTGTAAAGGCACCAAGAACTGGACTTTGTCTGTCGGTAATAAAACAAAAAAAGCAAAAAGCTCTTTTTTTGTTCCTCTTATTATAGCTTTCATAAGTTACTTACTCACTGTGTCAATAATATGATTTGATGGGTTTTGTTTACAGATGGAAAAGTGGAGAAGATGAAGGAGAGAGTTGAAATAGACGAGGAGAACAAATCAATGACTGTGTTTGTGTTCGATGGAGACGTGATGGAGAATTACAGTAGCTTCAAATGTAACCTTCAGATCATACCGAAGCATAGCGAGATGGAGCTGGGAGTACGAGAAGCTTCACTCGGATTCTCCTGCTCCTAACAAGTACATGGATTTCGCGGTCTGTCTCACTAAAGATATTGAAACTAATCTTCTCAAAACATAGAGAGAGAGAGATGTTAGATGTAATCTATATATTGTAATCTATATATTGTTTTGTTTATAACAAACGCTTGCTTCTCTTTAAGATATGAAACAATAATAATGCACTTGGAACAAATTTTATTTTGGATTCAAATCTTGCCAAGAGCATATAATGCCAACGGTAAACAAAAACATTATCCATCAGATTGAACAATAAGTCCTGTTTTGATTGTCATAGAGCCTTTGGGTATTAATATAATACCTTCAAATCTACGGTTGTTTAAAAGTATTTTAAAAGATAATTTTTTAGTGACTTTAAAAATATTTTAGATAATTATTTTAGGAATATGACAAGAATTTTAACAACAAATCATAACAAGTAATTAAGTACTCCTCTAGGTTCACCCAAATTATCTTAAAGCTTAGTTATCAAACTGCAAATCATTGAAGTTATTTGGTTGGATATATTATATACCCCATTATATATTTGATAATACTAATCAATATCCGATCGTGACGATTACCAAATAGTTTTTTTAAATTGTCGTCACATCACCTGGTAGATATATTTTACAATTTATGATAAGAAATATGATGGGTTTATTTGATCAGAAGTCAAAACTGTGGCTCTAGTGTACAAACAAACATATGAAAATAAAGTTGGGCAAAAGTTAAACTCTTCTAATACATATATAATATATAGAAAATTCTCGTGTCCGGCTTGCACCGTCCCATTTCTAATCCGGTTTTTAAATTAGGAGTTGAAACACAATGAGATCATATTTTATTTCCGAACTTTCTTTTCTGTTCCATTTTGCAGAAGACACGGCCAAATAAACCATCTTTTTCAACCTACATTTCATACTAATCAAATTATTTATTATTTAAATCACAGAAGATATGATCTTATAGGGTTGACAAAAAGATATGATCATTTAGGGATTATATATAACAATATAAAATACCGAATGATTCATCTACTTTCGTAATTTTATATTCAACGGCAGAAGAACTTCTCGAAAAGCCTATCAAGAAAACAAAAAATAAAAAAAACAGATGCGAGTCGTGTTACAGAATATTTGAATGTTAATCATTTTTTCTTATAATATGGATCCAGTCACAACTCATAACCAATGGACAATCTCCTAATAAACCAATTGGTTATGGCTTTTTGAAACCCTACCCATAATATTTGTATTTTTCTTAGAAGTCACGAACTGACTGCTTTCCCACTTATGCTACTCATTCAAAATCTTTTGTATGAGATGAGCTAAAAGGTATATTTTATATAGCCTTAGATTTTTTTTTTTTTTTTACATGTTTAATGAAAAGATATCAGATGATCCAGGCTTATCAGTTAGAGGCACGTAGGTTAGCGTGATCACAAATGAGAAAGAACTAATCAAAATATTAATAGTAAACAACAAAAATCATTCTTATTCTCGCTTCACTCATAGCTCATCCGTCTATAAAAAGGGGCTAAAGAGATTAAAGAGATCCCATTCACTCTTAAACCTAAATACTCAAAACCCTAAGAGACAATTGCAAAGTAGCCGAAGATTAAAAAAATGGCGGAAGAAGCATCTAGTTTGGTCGGAATCCTTGAGACAACCGTGGACCTAAAATCTTCCCCGGAGAAGTTCCATGACATGCTTGTTGGGAGACCACACCATGTCTCAAATGCATCTCCATCCAACATTCAAGGCTGTGAGCTACACGAAGGCGATATGGGCCAAGTTGGTGCTGTCATCTTCTGGAATTACGTTCATGGCAAGTTAACTTTATTCTCTGTCTGATATAATCTCCATATCAAAGTTAATCGGCTTCCAAATCAAAACCAACTGGGAAATGGTGGACCGCTCCATATGTTTATATATATTACTATAGCGTATAGATTCCTCTATTATTCAGATGTGAGATTTCTAACAATCTCAAATCCATGAATATATATGTGAAGAAGGTTAAATTTGATGCAGATGGGGAGGCAAAGGTGTTGAAAGAGAGGATCGAGTCAATAGATGCGGAGAACAATCGGGCGACGTACAGGGTGTTGGAGGGTGATCTAATGAATGAGTACAAGAGTTTTGTGATCACGTTCCAGGTGACCCCTAAGGAAGAAGAACCTGGAAGTGTTGCACATTGGCACTTTGAGTACGAGAAAATCAACGAGGATGTGGCTCACCCTGAGACTCTCCTCCAGTTCGCTGTGGAGGTCTCCAAAGAGATCGATGAACATCTCTTGTCCGAGGAATAGAGGAAGGCTTCTCTTGTACCCATACTATATATCAATACATATATATTTGTGTGTTTGCTTTGAAGTTGCGAAAACTTTGAAAGTGCTATAAATAAGGACTAAGGAGCCGCCTTGTCCGAGTTTGTGAGAGAGAGATATATGTGTGTCATGAATGTATGTATACTATAAGATCATGTTACGTTGGAAGTTGTTACTTTTGACAACCTAGCTATTCAAAATTTATCTATGAAATGTTTGTTAATAATAAAAGCATATAATTAACAAGTTCTTGGTAATGTAGTAATCTCAAGAACGAAACCGAGTCTATAACGTTTTAGTCGAGTCTTATAAGTCCAAGATGGTATCTACTCTTTACCACTTTAATGAATCTTGGGCTGAATCCAATGTAATCAAGAGTTGAGCAGAAAAAAGTAAAACATGATCTGATCAGGCTCTGGCTAATGATAAGCTTCTGATCCTATGCAGGTGGGAGCCTAACCGTGCAGCTGTATGGTTCATCGCCACTGCCTAAAAGCACCAGAGAAAGTAAAGAGAGCAGAGAAGACTCTGATTGTTCATTGGTTTCTGATAAACGTAGGCGCTTTTCTACCTCTCCCATAGTGAGTTGAAATAGACGAGGAGAACAGATCAATGACCGTGTTTGTGGTCGATGGAGACGTGAGTGATGGAGAATTACAGTAGCTTCAAATATAACCTTCAGATCATACCGAAGCTCCATGGAAGAAGCACATGGATTTCGCGGTCTATCTCACTAAAGAATAAACATATTGAAACTAATCTTCTCAAAACATAGAGAGATGTTAGTTGTAAGCTATATATTGTTTTGTTTATACGGTTGCTTCTCTTTAAGATATGAACAATTATAATGCACTTGGAACAAATTTTATTTAAATTCAAATCTGGCCAAGAGCATATAATGCCAACGGTAAACAGAAAACATTATCCATCAAATTGAACAATAAGTCCTATTTTGATTGTCATATAGCCTTTGGGTATTAATACCTTCAAATCTACGGTTGTTTAAAAGTATTTTAAAAGATAATTTTTTAGATAATTATTTTAGGAATATGACAAGAATTTTAATAACAAATCATAATAAGTAATTAAGTACTCCTTTAGACTCACCCAAATTATCTAAAAGCTTAATTATTAAACTACAAACCATTGAAATTATCCGATGGTGACGATTACCAAATATATACCTTTTAAAAAAAAATTGTCGTCACATCACCTGGTAGTTATATTTTACAATTTATGATAAGAAATATGATGGGTTTATTTGATCAGAAGTCTAAACTGTGGCTCTAGTGTACAAACAAACATATGAAAATATTTATTGTTTTGTAACGGCTTTAATTCACATATTATACAAACAGAAAAATATTATTTTTTGAAACCTAGAACGAAATTAAATGTAAATCTCGCTTTGTATAAGTTTAAATTAAAATAATCAAATATTTTTTAAAAGTTAATAAATTATAGAATATCTCTTAAATATTTTTACAAACATTACTCCGCACGAACGTGTGGGTAGTAATCTAGTTAATACTAAAAGGAAAAAGAATAAAAAAAAAAGATTTTATGTAAGTTATATTTATTGATTAATAAACATACTATATTTTGAGTTCGATATCATTCTATTAAAAACAGTATACAGCACAACGAGCGTCTTGCCAAAAGCGCTTAAGCACGAGTTTAAAAAAAATTCCACGTAAGTTCCTGACTCCCGGATTGGTTGGCCCCCGACGCTAGACTTTCGACTTAGCTTAATAAGATATAGAGCCTTTGATGTCAAAAATAGAAATAAAAATTACAACTACCTGCCAATAACAAATATATATTTGAGCAGACTGAACAACCGCGAAAACGAAATTAAGTAGCGTCGTGAACATCATGATTGATGAATAGATAAGTTTATGTACAATGCAAATAATTCTGCAGGTGAGTCATAATGATGGATTATACGAAACACAATTAATTATGATATTATTTTAAAACTAGGTATTTACCCGCGCTATGCTGCAGGATATTTTTCTAAATTTGTATATATTTTTAATATAATAAATTATTTATATATTTTAAATGAGTATTATATTTATTTTTTTAATAGTTTAAGTTGTGTATTTATATGTTTTAAATCTGAATAAACATTATATATCATTAATTTTTTTATTTTTTAAAATTATAATCTACTATCAAATTTGTTTAGCTAACTATCTATAAATGTATATGTAAGAATAAAACAATACATTTTTAAGTACTTCAAGCTAATGGTAGATGTAATTTATTTTCTCTACTAAATTACTAATTGATCCTCCTTTGAAATTATATAAAGCAAATTGCCATTTAAAAAATATAAATTAATATGATTATTTTAAATTATAAAATTTATTTATTTATCAAATATTTATTATAGATATATGTTTCTAAAACTACCAAACTATAATCAATAACATTCATATCAAAATCATTACTATTACTTTAGAACTAAATAGAAAGTTCTATTTGAACTGTTGAAATATCAATTTAGTTGAAGTTAAATAATTTAACTTTGGTTACTATAAACATATTATAACTTGAAAATTTAGCACTGAAATTTTTTATCTTTTTACAAAAACCGAGAAATTGTATTTTCCGCCAAAACAAAAAAAAATCATTTTCTCGTCAAACCTGAAATTTCATTTTCCTACCAAAACAAAGAAATTGCATTTTTCCTCAAAAACCAAAAAATCACACTTTTTCGCGAGAACCTGTGTTTTTCTGTCAAAACAGAGAAGTCAAGTTTTTTCACCAAAACCAAAAAAATTCATCTTCTTGCATAAACAAAAATAGTATTTTTCCGTCAAAACAAAAAAAATTATTTTCCCGCAAAAATCGAAAAATCGTCTATTCCCACCAAAAGAAGAAAAAATTATTTTTCTCGTCAAATCAAGAATCACGCCTTCCTACCAAAACTGCTAAACTACAATTTTCAGCAAAAACTAAAAATTGCATCATCTCCTGAGAAATTGCGTTTCCCACAAAAATAAGAAATCATATTTTCCCTCGAAAACCAAAAATCAAATTATATGTCAAAAACTGAAAATTTGCATTTTCCATAAAAACCAAGAAATTGTTTATTCCCGCCAAAATCGAGAAATTTTGCTTTTCTATCAACTCGAGAAATTGCATTTTTTGCCAAAATTGTCAAATTATAATTTTCTGCAAAAATCAAGAAATTACATTATTCATCAAAAGCCGAAAAATTGCATTTTCTATCAAAACCGAGAAATCATATTTTTCATCAAAATTAGAAGTGCATTTCCCTCGCATTTTCTCGTCAAAATCAAAATTTTTATTTCTCACTAAAACCAAAAATTCACATTTTGCCTCCAACCCCAAGAATTTGCTTTTTCCGCCATAACCGAGAAACTATGTTTTCCTACCAAAACTGAAAATCACATTTTTCTACCAAAACCAAGAAATTCTCTATTTCCGCCAAACTCAAGAAAATTTGTTCTCGGTAACCAGTGGAAATGCGAATCTCCAAGCTGTGGTGGTCTGAGTTTTTCCTCATTTGCTTTCGCTTTCCATTTTTTTTGTACACTTTTTGCTTTTTAATGGGTCAGCAAAATAGTAAATTGATTATATTAGTATGTTAATAATATGTATTATTGTTATGTTTTTATTGGTTTAAATTTTTGCTGATGTGTGAGCTTCTTATAACATAACGTTTTTTGCATTGTTGTTATGAAAACATAATTGATGATGAGTCTACACTTTCTTCAATCATATACGTCTCTATCAAGCAAACACATAGTTAGAAATTTTAATTTTTTTGCTGTTATTTATTATTTGAGTTTCAGTTTGGCAAAAATATAAAACAAATATTTAATTTTATTATTTGTTGTTATTTTATATTTGGGTTTGTTAAAAAAATAAAAGAATTTTTTATTTATTTGCTATTATTTATTGTTTGGGCTTAGGCTTGACCAAAAAATAAAACTAAAATTAACAATAAAAAATATTTGAGTTTTTAATGAGTTTAAATTTAAAAGTTAAAATAAATTGATGACTTGTATTAATGAAATGTTTTTATTGGTGTTTTTTTTTGCTGAAGTGTCATCTACTAAAAACTTAAAAATGCTGATGTGTGAAGCCATGGAGAGACTTGAGTGTTATTGTTGTGTTGATTAATAAAAGTTTAGTTTATTTACCAGTTGCTCTACCATTCCTTTACAAATAGAGGCTAAAGAGCTCACAAAAGAACTCACTCCTCTCTCAAAACACAATATTTTTTTAGAATATTTTTTTTTTCTCAAGACAGCAATTAATAAGAAGGAGAAAGAATGGCTGAGGCGGCGACAACCGAGGCATCTAGTTTGGTCGGGACGCTTGAGACAGAAGTGGAGATCAAAGCTTCGGCTGGACAGTTTCATCACATGTTCGCCGGGAGACCACACCATGTCTCCAAAGCATCTCCGGGCACCGTTCAGGGCTGTGAGATTGACGATGGTGACTGGGGGAAAGTCGGCTCTATCATCTTCTGGAACTACGTTCATGGCAAGTGTAACTTATTATAACATCTCTTATTCTTTTTTATAAGTTATAGTCAATGGATTCTTAAGAGATTTTTCTAGCATAAATTAAAGTTATACTCAAAGTCATACCTATAAAAATCAATTATAAAAATCATTGGTGCAGATGGGGAGGCAAAGGTGGCAAAGGAGAGGATAGAGGCGGTAGAACCAGAGAAGAACTTGATCACGTTCAGGGTTATAGAAGGTGATCTTATGAAAGAGTACAAGAGTTTTGTGATCACGATTTAGGTGACTCCTAAGCATGGAGAGCCCGGGAGTGTGGTGCATTGGCACTTCGAGTACGAGAAAATAACTGAGGAGGTGGCTCATCCTGAAACTCTTCTCCAGTTAGCCGTTGAACTCTCCAAAGAAATCGACGAGCATCTCGTGTCCGAGGAATAGAGGAGAGAGTACTCCCTCCTGTGGCTATCCTATTCCTATCCGTTCATGTATGTGTGATTGAAGCATGTCGATTTCAGTCTTTGAAAGTGCAATAAATAATGAGCTCAGTTCGATATATGAAACGGAAGTTATATATTGTACTTTAAATTGTATTTTTATGTTTTTCTTTTGAAGTGTTGATATTAATAATACAATGAAGCATGTGTATTTAAGAACTCGCCTTTCTGCTTTCAAATTTCTAAGAACTCTAGATTTTTATCGTACATGCATGCATAAATTTTGTGAAACTATTAGTGTACAAGTGATCAATGAGGTTTTTATAAGTGGCTTACTTTTACATGAATTTTTTTTTTGTCGAAACTTTTTTACATGGTTTTTATGATTATGGTTAGTTAGTTTTGGTATTAGTTGTCCTTGTGTCACTACTCAAATTGTCCATCCCAAATATAGTTATCTTGCATGTTGACAAGAACAACATTTCAAGTTTTTAAATACTTTATGTCATGCATCTTAATACGGATTCAGATCGATGCAACTAATTCGGAAAAAACTTTAAAAAATGAAAACACATGAATTATTTATGTGTTAAAAAAGTTTGAAAGAAACAAGTTGTATTATTATTAGGAAACAGGGAACTTCTTCTAGAAAAGGCATATATTTTGGGATATTTGTATAGGAACAGAAGGGGATGGACATAACTTTTGCCCAATTTGATTTTCATATATACGTTTGTACAGTGCCCCATAGGCCAAAGTTTTGACTTTTGATCAAATAAATATACTCATTAATTTTCTTTAGTAAAAAAGTATTTGGTAATCGTCACCATCGGATATTGATTAGTGGTGTCATGTATAATGATTAATGGAGTGTATATTTAGCCAAATATGAATGATTTGTATTTTTTGGATGATTTTGACTAAAATCGATAGAAGTATACTTTTTATTATGATTACAAGTCTTCCGAAATACTATCACTTAACACCATAAAATTTTTGATTTTGATTTTTGATTTTTGATTTTTTTTTGTGCAAGAAATTTTTGTATATGGTACTAAAAAGATTATTCAAAACATTTTAAAGTCAATAAAAAATTATTGCTTAAAAGGTTTCCAATAGCAGTAGAAATAAAGTTATTAATTCCCACGGCCTTCATGAGTCATGACAATCAAATTATTATTCAATTTGAGGGATAATGTTTTTGTTTACCATTGGCAAATATGCTCCCGGATGTAAAACTAAATAAAAGTTTCAAATGATCAGCACATATGTTTACTTTGGCAATATTTGAATCCAAATAAAAGTTGTTCCAAGTGCATCTACATCCCTCTTCACTCCCAGACTGAGACTGGACCATCTGAAAATTGAAAGAGATTCATTTCTCTACTAAAAACATCTTTCAACACCTTACGTCAAATCAATTTAAACTAGCTAACTGGTGTAAATCATCATGTAACAAATTCTAAGTATGTTAACGCCAAAAGACAATCCCTCCTCTTTATAATTCATATAAATTTGGTTATATATATATATATATATATAAAGGGCTAATTCATATAAATTTCGTACATACAATGATCTAAAGGTTACATTTGAAGCTACCGTAATCCTCCATCACATCTCCATCGAACATAAACACTGTCATGAGTCATTGATTTGTTCTCCTCGTGTCTATTTCAACTCTCTCCTTCATCTTCTCCACCTTTCCATCTGTACGTAAACAAAACCCGTGAGATCATATGTTGTAACTTATGTGATACTACGTAATAAGAGGAAACAAAACAACTTTTTGCTCTTATCGACAGACAAATTAAAAAAAGTCCAGTCGTTACCGAATTACCCTCCCACGCTAAGTATGTTCTCTGTACGATGCGCGAAGTAGCCTTAATAGCTTCGAAAATCTTATTACCTGACACATTAATCTCTACTTCTATCATGAATTTTCGCCATCTGAGCCATTACTTTTCTGTTGTTTGATCTTCTGTGTTCTCTGATTGGCTCTGCTTATATAATTACAATCTTTTGGAGGAAGAAACTGGTATCGGAATAAGGTACCATGCCTAGCATTTACGCCAGTTTATATTAATAGTTTCTTTGTTGTATTCACAATCTCCATTGGGGCATTAATTTACCAAGAATACTCATCCAAAAAGATGGCGTTTTCAAGATTATTATATCTTACAAGTGTAATGGACCTTTACTTAATTCACATTTTAATGTTCAAATCTTCAACCTTTTTGTTTGTTGGTGTTAATTTATATTTGAGTTTTAATTGCATATATTTATTTCGTTAATTTTTTTTACTGTAAATGTTCATAATTGAGATGTTTTCCTATCGTTAATTGAGCAGAGACAAATCTAAAAACTGTGAGTTTTGTATTGTTAGTAGTTCTTAATTAACGATAGCAAAATTTTTGATTTTGATTTTTAGTGTTTTATAAAGTGAAACTAATTCACATTTCATTTGTTTAATTTAAATGATAGCGTAGCATGTCTTCATTGACAACGGAGGTTATATATCTCATACGAATCATTCGAAAATATTTAACAAAGCTACTAGCTGCCATAATATATATATATATATATATATGAGCATAGACTTAATAATAGGGAAAACGAAAGTAGCGACGTGCTTCGTGTGATTGATGAATAAATCAATTTATAAACAATGCAAAACAAATCGGCGGGTAGTATTACTATATGATAATGATGATGAGGCTCAGGTTCACATGGAATACAACAAATTATGAGATTATTTTAATGATATACAATTTGCTTTCTTCAAAAGTTACTCAATCACTCCTCTACAAATAGAGGCTAAAGATAGCTCACAATATTGGAACTCACTCCTCTCTCACAAAACCTTATCTTTTTCTCAAGATAAGCAGATCAAAGGTAGAAAGAATATAATGGCAACAACCGAGGCGTCTAGTTTGGTCGGGAAGCTTGAGACAGAAGTTGAGATCAAAGCTTCTGCTGGAAAGTTTCATCACATGTTCGCCGGGAGACCACACCATGTCTCCAAAGCATCTCCAGGAAACATTCAAGGGTGTGACCTGCATGAAGGTGACTGGGGCAAAGTCGGCTCTATCGTCTACTGGAACTACGTTCATGGCAAGTCAACTTTATACCCTCTTTCCCTTCTAAGTCCTGTAGTGGCAATATAATGAGTTCTATCTAGCGTAGATTGATTTTTGACTCCCACTAAAATTACTATCGATGACACAGATCCGCAAGCTGATGATGACCACTATAATACTATCATTGAATCTGTATATACTTATAATAAGCTTTTGAACTAACATTCAAGTTTTTCTCGAAGTCAACCTATATAAATGAAAAATATTAAATAATTGGTGCAGATGGAGAGGCAAAGGTGGCAAAGGAGAGGATCGAGGCGGTGGAGCCGGAGAAGAACTTGATCACGTTCAGGGTTATAGAAGGTGATCTGATGAAAGAGTACAAAAGCTTTGTGATCACCATCCAGGTGACCCCTAAGCATGGAGGGACAGGGAGTATTGTGCACTGGCACCTTGAGTACGAGAAGATCAGTGAAGAGGTTGCTCATCCCGAGACTCTCCTACAGTTCTGTGTCGAAGTCTCCCAAGAGATCGACGAACATCTCCTGAACGAGGATTAATAGACGAGAGTACTCCTCGTGTGTGTATCCTATCCGTTCATGTATGTATGATTGAAACATGTCGAGTTCAGTCTTTGAAAGTTCAATTAATAATGAGTGTATGATGTATCTGAGTGATATGTGAAATGGAAGTGCTATGCTATACATGTATGCATCGTGATTATTATTATTTTTCGTTTAAGTGTACCATGTTTCAATAAAACTATATATAAAGCATGTGGCATATATGTTTGGATCAATAAGCCTCGTCTTTCTGTATTCATATATAATTTTTCTATCCATTATGCGATATACAATCAAAAACTCTATCAACACAACCATAACACTAAATTCTCTCCATGGCTTGACACCTCAACTTTTTAAGCTTTATAAACATGACACTTCAGTAAAAATAATCACCAATCAAAACATTTTATTAATACATCTCATCTACTTATTTTAAGTTTTAAACTTAAACCCACTAAAAACCCAAATATTTTTTCTATTAATTTTTGTTTTATTTTTTACCAAACCCAAGCCCAAATAATTAATAATTTTATTTTTTGCCAAATCTAAACTCAAATAATAAATAAAAATAAATAAAAAATTAAATTATTGTTTTTTTTTTGCCAAAACCAAATCTAAATAACAAATAACAACAAATAAATAATAAAAAACATTCTAGCTATCAGTTTGTTTGACATAGACGTATATGATTAAAAAAGTGTAGGCTCAACATCAACTATGCTTCCATGACAACAACACAAAAAAACCTTATGTTATAAGAAGCTCACCCATCAGCAAAAATTTGAACCGATAAAAACATAACAATTTCTTAGTTTTCGCGGGAAAACACAATTTCACGGGAGATAAAACAATTTTTGGTTTTCACGAGAAATTGTAGTTTATTTGTTATTGTAGAAAAGCGTGATTCTGGGCTTGACGAGAAGTTTTTGTTTTCGCAGGAATTTTTTGGTTTTGGCGGGAATAGCCGATTTCTCAGTTTAATGGGAAAATGAAGTTTTTTTTGTTTTGATGGGAAATGCGATTTCTCGATTTTTGTAAGAAGATGAAATTTCTCTGTGCTAAATTTCCAAGTTAAAGTATATTTACAGTAACCAAAATTTAATTATTTAACTTTAACTAAAACTATATTTTAAGAGTTCAAACATAATTTTCTATTTAGTTCTAAAGCAATAGCAATGGTTTTGATATGAATGTTATTGATTATACTTTGGTAGTTTTAGAAACATATATTTATAATAAAATATTTTATAAATAAATAAATTTTATAATTCAAAATAATCATATTAATTAATAAATCTTTTTTAAATGACATTTTGCTTTATATAATTACAAAGAAGGATCATGTGGCAATTGATTGGAGAAAATAGATTACATTTGCCATTAGCATGAAGGTACTAAAAATGTATTGCTTTATTTTTATATATTTTATTCCTAATATACATTTATAATTAGTTAGCTAACTAAATTTAATAGCAAATTATAATTTTGAAAAACAAAAAAAAAAATATATATATATATATATATAATATTTATATAGATTTAAAACATACAAATACATAATTTAAGCTAATAAAAAAAAATATAAAATTCATTTACATTATAAAAATAATTTTATTATATTAAAAATATATACAAAATTTAAAAAATATCCCGTAGCATAGCGCGGGTAAAAACCTAGCTCAATAAGCTAGATACATATAAATATAAAATTCATTTTCATTTACATGATACTACCACGTATACCACTAGACTACATATCATAAGCTAGATACAAAAGCAGTCTACACAAAAACAATGTGCAACGTTAACACAAAGTATGGATCACATCAAGTTTTTGGCAAATAAATAATGTGCATAATATGATAGGTATACCGTATAATATAATCTCATAGGGTTATTCAACCAAAATAAAGTGATTATAAGAAAGAAAAAAGAGAAAGGCAAAAATTAATGAAAATAATAGTGTACTCGTGATAAATGAGTTCTTAGTTCTTTTTACTTCTGCATTATTCATTAATTATATTCTTGGGCAAAAATGCATGTGATCAAGACATGTAACCTAATACTATTGATTTGCCTAGTATGTTATACACCTTTTTTGTTGACTAAAACAAAAAAAGATGTGTGTGTATTCCACATATTTCCGCTTTTTACGGATTTTTTAATAACATAGATAATAATTTTTTTTTATTTGCATATATGAACAAACGTGTCTTCATTAACAAACGACATGTTCTCTTAAGGATTATTTCAATGTATTTATAAATTTTATGGTATTTTCAGCAGAGAGATTATTATAAGAATATAAAGCGTCTAATATTAAACACTACATGCCAATAACAAATATCTCAAATCAAAAATTTTACAACGGAAGGAAAGACTGAACCGTGTGATATTGAATGATCAAGAGATCATTTTAGTGACTAACGTTAAATAATCCTTATCCCCTACAAAAATTCAGTGGGTGAGACAAAATGATGTGGTCATGATCACAAAGGGATACAAAATAGCAATTAATAAATACTTGGTTTCTTCTTCAACCGTTACCTCACTCACTCCTCTGCAAAAAGAGGCCAGGGAACTCAAAAGGGACTCATCCTCTATCAAAACGTTTTTATTTCTCAGGATAAACAAAGTTACATCGGGAGAAAAACAAAATGGCAACTAAAATGGCCGGGGCTGCAATGAATCCGACCAAGACAGAAGCGTCTAGTTTGGTTGGGAAGCTTGAGACAGATGTTGACATCAGAGCTTCTCCTGGAAAGTTTCATCACATGTTTGCCGGAAGACCACACCATGTCTCCAAAGCAACTCCACGCAACATTCAGAGTTGTGATCTGCATGAAGGCGAATGGGGAAAAGTTGGTTCTATCGTCTTCTGGAACTATGTTCATGGCAAGTCACCATTTATATTGTATTAATTTTTATAATTAAATCTTTTAGGAATTTAGGACCGTTTCCTTTATTTTGAATTGGTTATTAGTTGGAAACAAACCCGTATAAATAATATATGAAATGACACACACACAAAAGAAAAACTTAATATACTACCATTTATCTACAATCATTACCTTAAATTACATGCACCTGCTTCATAGTATGTTGCAATATTGAAATCGATTATCAGAGTCAAAGACATACATATATTAATATATTTGGTGCAGATGGGGAGGCAAAGGTGGCGAAAGAAAGGATAGAGGCCGTGGAGCCGGAGAAAAACCTTATCACTTTTAGGGTTATAGAGGGAGATTTACTAAAAGAGTATAAGAGCTTTGTGATCACGATCCAAGCGAATCCTAAACAGGGAGGACCTGGGAGTACAGTGCACTGGCACATTGAGTATGAGAAAATTGACGAGAAAGTGGCTCACCCTGAAAGCTTCCTTGAGTTCTGTGTTCAGGTTTCCAAAGAGATCGATGAACATCTCCTGAACGAGGAATAGAAAAGAGTGCTCTTTCATTGTGTATCTACGGATCAACCCTATACATATGTACATACACACACACATATATCCATGAAGCATGTTTATTTCGTTTTAGCAAAAACAAAGCATGTCTGTTCCATAAATAAGTGTCCGATATGGAGGAGTAATATATGAAAGTTTTCCATCGTATTTGTTTTTAATAAAAGCTTTGTGATATAAGTTTGTGGATGAATTAAGTCTCTTATCTCTGCCATCATGAAACTGTCTTCCACACATATATAAGACACAGATAAGTCTATCTACATAGTCAACACTGTATCAGAAAGAAGATTTTTACTCTCGCATTGCAAATTCGAAATCACCAACGGCCATTTATCAAGATCTTTGTCTCTCTCTTTCACTATCTCTTGCAATTAAAACAGGCTTCATTGACCTTCTGAGTGTACCAATCAATTTCTCGTTCTTCTTATTGGCAACAACCACTCTGATACCTGAGCATTTATAAAAATTCAATTCCTACCAAGGCTTGTCACTCGAAAGAAGCTTAAAAGCATAATTTAAATAAATAAATTCAATTCCTACCAAACATTGACACTCGAAACAAGCTTATTAAGCAATTACAAATGCATCTGAGCATATAAACATAAACTGAAAAAGGAGCGGGCTGAACCCTGTGATCATAATTGATGAAAGAATCTAATAAAATTTACGATTTAGTTTCTAGCTAAACATTTCTTATCGCTTTTTTTCTTGTGCAAAGAAAGAAAATGAAAAAGATGTTGATATGAGCTTTCTTAAATAAGAGAAATGAAGAAGAAAATCAAGAGAAGAGAAGAACTTGTAGAATATGTCATTATTTTATCATATGTCAACATGTTGTTTGTTTTTTATTAATCTGATTTTCGGATATCTTTCAAAGATCAAAGACTCCCCTATTTATACACAGACACACACACATGTAAGAACTACCTCACACGTTTTTCCTTTTAATTTCAAAATTTTAATGTATATTACCAAGTAATAGTGCAGCCACCTATTCTTGTCTCCCAATGCCTTCCATAACTTTTTTCAGTGGATTCAATAATTATAATAGACCATATACCTCATAAGAACATCTGTAACGCAAAGCTTTTCCCAAGCTCTTACAAACATAAAAAAAAAATAAAAAAAAATTAATGACGTGGCAAAACTGAAGTGTAGAAGCGTTTCTCTGTTCAGAGATTGTAGAATCGACTCTATGCCAAAACATGATTCGTCGATTTGTTTTTTTTCTTTTTTTTCCGAAAATCGATTTTTTTTTAAAAAACTTAATAATAAAAAAAACTAAGAGCTTTTTGAGCAGCTCTACTTTACAGATACTCTAACATTTTATAAACAACGCAAATAGTTCACTGTATTTTTAAATATTTCTTGAAAATAATTCATTTTATCTTTCCAATATCGCCTATCACAAGGTGGGTCATAATCATAATGATGGGATTATGATCACAAAAAATAATTTTTTTTTTCCTCCAACAGTTGCTCGCTCACTCACTCCTCTACATAAAGGGCCATAGATCTCCAAATGGGAACTCACTCATAAAAAGAAAAAACTCTTTCTCTCTTTAAAAAAAACCCTAGTTTCCTCAAGATAACCAAATTAGCAGGAGAGAGAATGGCCGGGGCTGCTACTGAAATTGCAAAGAATATGGAGGAAAAGGAGGAGGCGCCAGTGACCGTGGCACCAACTAAAACGGTCGACGCTGCAGGTGCGGGAGAGGCAGAGACCACGGTGATCAAAGTGGCACCTCCTAAAACGGCCGAGGTTGAAAACAAACCGGCGGAAGAGGAGGTGAAGACAACAGATACGACTAGCTTGGTGGGAAAGCTTGAGACGGACGTGGAGATCAAAGCTTCCGCGGAGCAGTTCCATCACATGTTCACCGGGAAACCACACCATGTCTCCAAAGCATCTCCAGGAAACATTCAGGGCTGTGAGCTTCACGATGGTGACTGGGGCAAAGTCGGCTCTATCATCTTCTGGAACTACGTTCATGGCAAGTTAACGTTGTTATATAAATCCTTTTTTCCTCATATATTAATATATAGTATATGTTTATTCTCAAATTTTTAAACCTATATATAACTATCAAATGTTAAATAATTGGTGCAGATGGGGAGGCAAAGGTGGCGAAGGAGAGGATCGAGGCGGTGGAGCCGGAGAAGAACCTGATCAAGTTCAGGGTTATAGAAGGTGATCTGATGAAAGAGTACAAAAGCTTTGTGATCACCATCCAGGTGACCCCTAAGCATGGAGGGACAGGGAGTATTGTGCACTGGCACCTTGAGTACGAGAAGATCAGTGAAGAGGTTGCTCATCCCGAGACTCTCCTACAGTTCTGTGTCGAAGTCTCCCAAGAGATCGACGAACATCTCCTGAACGAGGAGGCATAGAGGACTATTTGTGTGTGCCTTGAGTTTCAGTATTTGAATTAAAATGCAATAAAGGACTAAGGAGCCATGTGGGAGTTTGTGAGATATAAATATGAGTGTGCCATGAATGTGTATTTCTACTAAGACCGTTACGTTGGAAATTGTAGCTTCGAGAAGCGACGTGTAATAGCCATGGTGAGGCTACTATAATAAATATATAAAGACTATATATATATATATATATATATAATTAAGTTTGTTATCTTTGCTAATAATATCTGTTTGGATTAGCGAATCACTATATCTTTATGCTTCCATGAGTTAACGAAACATAAGAAGAATGCCAGAAGAATAGATGAAGGAAATGATTAGCTAGATTGATGATTGTTATAGATTTTAATCCCAATTACTTTCCATTGACATTACTGTGATCCACCAAATATATCCGCGTATATATACACTCAATCATTCATATATACGGACTACTTTACGTCACTAATGATCATATAATGAAATGGTTGGATAATTTTTTGGTTAGCTAGTGTATTCCCAAATACTAAAAAATAAAAAAATAATGTTCTGTACAGAAGCTTTTAAATACATAGACACAAAATTTGGTGAGCAACTGAGCATTTAAGATAGAGCATTTCTAAATAAATTATTGGATATATATATATATATATATATATCCAATAATAACTAAACGAGAATTAGTTAGGCTTAATAATAATTATATATATATATATTGAAAATTCATTTAAGCTAGGAATTAGTTAGACTTAATAATAACTAAACAAGAAAAAACAGTATTTTTTTGGGTACAAAGTTACCATAATTAAATAGAGATACAACAAGTAGCAGTTCGCATTGTGGTTTAATTACATGTTAGGCATTTGAACTAAAGGGGGTCTGATCAAGATTGGCTTCCGATGTAATTGTAAAAGTCACTTATGTCGAGAAATCTAGCAATCCCACTAGCTTCCAAGAACCTGATCAAACCATATATCTATCTATATATATATATATATATAAATGTTACTCTATCAACAAATACTTCAAATTCAGAATTCAATTTGCTTCGAATGGAAGAATCGGTGAAGGCGGATAGAATAGTGTGAATTCTCCATCAAAATTTACACTATTCGATCACATCCATCACCAATTAATAGAATTAAAAGAAGAATGGGAAGTTACTGGTCTCTGAAGATCCTTGTCATGGAGACACATCCACCAGGAAGCATTGATTGCATATTAAGAGCAATGTTGGGGTTGTGAATACTCTGCCTCATGTGCACCCATCCATACTCTTCCCCACTCTCTTCATCCCTAACTTTTGCCCTGATTTTATTCATTATATATTATTATTTAGATTAATTTCCGGATTTTATCATATGATTATATATAGAAATAAACTATAATATATGAAACAAATCATCACCTGTACATGTGAGCATCAATTGCACATGGATGATCATTTGAATCAACCAAGCATCCTTCATTTACCCAACATTCCTTACACGAATCCAATTCCCACCCTTTAAGTTTTCCATCCTAATAACCATTTTTATTTATTTGTTGCACACTTATAATAATTCTCAAGTTTACATCTACAATAAAAACCAATTGATTATTTAGTTACATAGCTAATTATACATTGATGTATTGTCTGAATATCTCAATGGCTTCAATGCCTTTTGCTTTGGCATCTTTTGGCTTTGACAAAATATTCATATCTTCTTGATTTTTTGCTGCGAAAATTCACAATCTCTGATCTTTTCTGCAATTTCTCCTGTAAATTGGCGGATCCATTGACTACATAAATTAATTCAGGTAATGTTTTCAACACCCAATTTTCCCCTCTCGCTTTGAAACTTCCCTAATCTCTGAATTTTAAAATTCTGTAGGGCTAGCTAACGATTTCTCTTCTCAGATTAAAGACTCCACCTGGAACTGAAGACCTGCTTCTCAGCTCCACCAGCTCCACGAGTAATTCACTCTTTCCTTTGTACTTGAAGATTTCATTGCCACAGGTTCAGAAATCAAGTACACTCACGGTATACTTTGTTTTTCTGCTTTTGCGAGAGGTACTTGGGCAATTGAGTTTCATGGAGCTTTCAGGACGTACATAAGCTTATGTCTTCATCGCACTCCTTGTAATTTCTCTTTACTGTCCTGACTACTCAGGTAAATCTTTTGACCTGTGTTATCTTCTTCATGCCTTCTCTCCTTTCTCTGAGACTTTGCAAAATCATAACTTGATTTCACACTGCTTTTCACATAAGCTCCACCTTAAGCCAATAACTCTTTATTCGACTTCATATTACCACCACAGGTGATCTATTTTATGTTAATTATTCATGACTCTTGGCTGATCCTTTGATACCGTAATTTTCTTGAGTACTCTTTGATATCGACTTCCTTTTCCTTTCAGCTACTTTGGATGAATAATGTAACCTCTCTTCTGCTACTGTAACTTTAAGTAACTACTTTACCCTTGTAGAAATTCACTCTCGCCTTAACTTTCTGAATCAAGAACAAACAATGAAGAACTGAACTGATTTCTCTTGAATTCTTTCAACAGCTCCACCTGGAATCAATGTCTCCTTACCGTGATTCCACAGTTGCCTCCAGGTAACTCCCTTAACCCATTAATCAAACTGATTTTACTTTATCGACATAAGAACACCTTTTAAACCTGACCCGTTTCTTGTTGTTCGTCCTGCGAGAGTACCATGTCGATAATGGAGCTACCTGGAGCTGATTCCTTCTCATGCAATTTTGGGAAGCTCACAGTACACCTGAACCTCCTGTCCAGGTACTGTTTTACTTAGAGAACCCGCTTGACTCTTATTGGTGTTGATCTTAGATAGAGTTTCGCCTTCCTTAGCTCTATCTCCAAAGATCCCCATTCCCAATATCTTTGAAACTTTACACAAGTCTACCACCTCAAGCTCTTTGTTCAATCTTCCTTTTTCTGCATCATTCTTCCGATGCTTATGTTTCTTTCTCTTTCTAATCTCTTCTGTATCAGTCTCCTTTACAGCAACGAAAGCAATCTCCACCAATGAATCATCTCCTGAAGATTCTGTCCCAGATTCTGTCCCAGATTCTATCTTGCTCACCTTAGACTCAATCTCTTTTAAACTTTCTGTCGCATAATAGTCTCCACCTTGAGCAGATGAATTCTTTGTTTTAAAACCATATGGAGTAGGTCCGTGCTTCAGATTTTCACTGAAAGTCACTTTCTATGACTTCTTTTTTCTGACTTCTTTCTCCATTGTTGGATTTGCAACCATGCCTTGTAGAAAATATAGAACTGAACCTTGAAGTTACCTCCTTCATACGTGCAACCTGACTTCTCTAACATCCCATAGGAAATAAGATTCCTACTCACCTCCGGCATGTATCTCACATCCGTGAGTATTACTTCAGAACCGTTTGGATTCTGAATCCGAATTTTTCCCATTCCTTTGATGTTAGCATGCGTGTTGTTTGCCATCAAAACACTACCACCATCAAACTCCTTGAAGTCAAACAAGACTTCTTTGTTTGGTGTACTGTGGTATGAACAACCTGAGTCTATAACCCATTCCTTTTTCGTGTCTTAAGCAGTAATACTTAGCACTATCGGCTGCTTAGGTTCTGCTGCAATATTTGCAGAATCTGCACGTCTCTTTCTTTCAGGACAATCTCTTTTCCAGTGATCTTCTTTTCCATAAAGAAAACAACTTGTGTTGTCTTTATCAAATCTTTTCTTTGATTTAGATCTTCCCCGGTTCTTGGAAGTTCCTCTTGAATCAAATATGCCCCTTGATTCCACATCCCTTGTTTCCACATATAGACCTTCGGCGTCTGCCTTTCCTTGCCCAAAGAGGCCTTTGGATCTTAGCTCAGCTTCTTTTGAGTATGCCGATGTGATAACTTCATTGACGGTGAGTGTCTCCCTTCCTACTCCATACTGAAGTGTGTGGGTTAGTTGGCCATATGCGGGTGGTAATCCTGACAGTAACATTATTGCTTGATCTTCATCTGATATAGTCACCTTTAGACTTGTCAAATCTGCAATCAATTTTAAGAAAACATCGACATTCTCTTTTATTGATTTCCCTTCTTCCATCTTGTAACACGAAAATTGTTTCTTCAAGTAGATCATGTTTGGAAGAGACTTCTTCTGGTAATGCTTCTCGAGAGCCTTCCATTGTCCCAATGCTGTAAGCTCATCCATGTTCTTTCTCAATATTGAATCACTGAGACATGTTCCAAGTAAGCTTTGTACTCTCTGATCCCTTTCGTTTTTCTTAGGATTAACCATTATTGTTGTAGCTTCTCCTTCTTCTTTCCATGTATATGTCGTGACTGTAAAATTGTCTGACACAACATCAAGAAGACCTTGAATACCAAGGAACTTGTATTTACACATACCAAAGTCGTCTTTCCCGTCAAATTTGTCCATCTCAAACCTTCTTTGAGTATGTTCCATAACTGACTTGTTACACTGACTTTCTTGCAGGTACCACATATTCTGAACTTCCTCCTAAGCCACTCAACAACCAGAGACATGCAGTGGAACCAGCAAATTAAGAATACCAATTACCAAAAGGCTTGCCGCAGAATATCAGATAAGATTTTCGTTACCTTCTTTTAACCCTTCCGATCAAACTATCCTTACTCTCTTCACCAACAGCTCTGATATCACTTGTTGATAATTCTGGATCGATTAGCGTTTGAACGTGGTTTGATTTGTTTGCAGGATTTAAAGAGAATAAAAGAACAGGACACAAAATTTGGTAACCCAATTCTCGGCCTCTAACCGGTACGTCTGGTGAGGGAAACTCTTGTCCCTCAACTTCCACTATAAACTCTTGAGAATACAAACTTTTATTTCTCAGTTACAAGAAAGAAGTCATCGAGAGATTAAGAATAAAACTCTTGCGATACAAAACTTAAAACCTTAGGTATATATATGCATCTATAACCTAAATAAGTCTTGCTCTTATCTTTGTGGGCTTCCAACTTATTGTAGCCGAAACTCCTTTTCTTCTCTCTTCATGCACAAGGCCCATTAGCATTTGGCCCAAAAGTGATATTGGTTTGGTTCAAGCTTGAGACAGATGTTGACATCAGAGCTTCTCCTGGAAAGTTTCATCACATTTTTGCCGGAAGACCACACCATGTCTCCAAAGCAACTCCAGGTAACATTCAGAGTTGTGATCTGCATGAAGGCGAATGGGGAAAAGTTGATTCTATCGTCTTCTGGAACTATGTTCATGGCAAGTCACCATTTATATTGTATTAATTTTTATAATTAAATCTGTTAGGAATTTAGGACCGTTTCCTTTATTTTGAATTGGTTATTATTAGAAACAAACCCATATAGATAATATAGGAAATGACAAAAAAAAAAAAAACTTAATACGACCATTTATCTACAATCATTACATCACATTACATGCACCTGCTTCATAGTATGTTCCAATATTGAAATCGATTATTAGAGTCAAAGCCATACGTATATTAATATATTTGGTGCAGATGGGGAGGCAAAGGTGGCGAAAGAAAGGATCGAGGCAGAGGAGCCGGAGAAAAACCTTATCACTTTTAGGGTTATAGAGGGAGATTTACTAAAAGAGTATAAGAGCTTTGTGATCACGATCCAAGCGAATTTTAAACAGGGAGGACCTGGGAGTACAGTGCACTGGCACGTGGAGTATGAAAAAGTTGACGAGAAAGTGGCTCACCCTAAGAGCTTCCTTGAGTTCTGTGTTCAGGTTTCCAAAGAGATCGATGAACATCTACTGAACGAGGAATAGAGAGGAGTGCTCTTTAATTGTGTATCTACGGATCTACCCTATACATATATACATATATGTGTGTGTGTGCGCGCGCGCCATGAAGCATGTCTATTTCGTTTTAGCAAAAACAAAGCATGTCTGTTCCATAAATAAGTGTCCGATATGGATGAGTGATAGATGAAAGTGTTGTACTCTGAGTGTGTATATGTCATATTTGTTTTTAATAAAAGCTTTTGGATATATAAGTTTTTGGATGAATTAAGTCTCTTATCTCTGCCATCATGAAACTGTCTTCCACACATATATGAGTCACAGAGAATCTACCTACACAGTATCAGAAAGAAGATTTTTATTTTCGCATTGCAAATTCGAAATCCCCAACAGCCATTTATCAAGATCTTTGTAATATGGTCATGAAATATAACCTGGTTCTCTTTCACTATGTCTTGCAATTAAAATAGGATTCATTGACCTTCTGAGTGTACCAATCAATTTCTCGTTCTTCTTCGTGGCAACAACCACTCTAATACCTGAGTATTTACTTCCAAGATGAAAGGACTAACAAAATTCAATTCCTACCAAACCTTGTCACTCGAAAGAAGCTTAAAAGCGTAATTTAAATAAGTAAATTCAATTCCGACCAAACATTGACACTCGAAACAAGCTTATTAAGCAATTACAAATGCATCTGAGCATATATATAAACATAAACTGAAAAATGAACGGGCTGAACCCTGTTGTCATAGTTGATGAAAGAATCTAATAAAATTTACGATTTAGTTTCTAGCTAAACATTTCTTATCGCTTTTTTCTTGTGCAGAGAAAGAAAAAGAAAAATGATGTTGATATGAGCTTTCTTAAATAAGAGAAATGAAGAAGAAAATCAAGAGAAGAACTTGTAGAATATGTCATTATTTTATCATATGTGAACATGTTGTTGTTTGTTTTTTATTAATATGATTTTCGGATATCTTTCAAAGCGATAAGAAATGTTTAAGAATATTGGAGAAGACCTTAAGAATATTTTTATATAATTATAAAGTACTTATAAGCTGCGTAAATGTTTGAAGTTAACTTATCGAACTTCATGATGGTGAACACGGAACAAAGAACAAAACTAAGAGCGTAGAAGATGTGGCAGGTAATCATTTCAATCTTTCGGAGCCTCACGTACACAAATCAGAAAGTCGTTGAAGTTTCGCACGATGAGGGTTGTTTTGTACATTAGACCATGGTTATGTCCTTCGTAGATTACTTCGTTTTGTAAATTTATATTCGATTTGTTTTTTTTTTCGTTGAAATTCTTATATATTAATAACATTCAGCTCTTTCTGTATTAGTTAACATAAAAATACGGAAAAGTAGTACAGTAGTACTATGAGTCAAGTCAATGACAACACGCCATCATCATTCAACTATTTTATAATCGATGTAACTCATATTTGTGTGGAATCGATCATGTGTAAGTTTAATCAGAGAAAAATATTGGTGATTTTCATGCTCCCACGTGTTTATCTAAGAATGGTTGGCACAAAAAATAAATCATTTAATACCCTTAATTTATTTATACTCGAAGCATTAAGAGATACAGAAGCTTCTGCCGGAAAAGATTAAAAATTACTGTGGTAGCGATTGTCAAAATTATCCGGTAGTGTTATTATTTTATTGTTGAAATTGCATATGACACAAGCTTGGGAATCACTCCACAAACTTAGAACAAATGGAGATCAAAACTGATCAACAAGCTGATGGGCGGAAGTGGTTGATGGTAGCAATGGTGGTGGAATTTTGATTGACTCTCTCAATCTTTGGGATGACTGACTCACTCAGCCTTTGGAGAACTAGACCTGCTTGAATCTCACAAACAAATCCAATCCTATAATCTAAAGAATCAAATGAATCACTCAAATGAAACTAAAGACAAATTGTTTTAAACAAAGACACTCTTTGAATAAAATGAAAATACTTTGTATTATACTTGTTTTTAGATTGAAAAGGGTCATTAACAATGAAATATGAGATGAGCTTATATACATACTTAGTACAACGTCCACTTATTCTAAACTAGGAAGGGAATCATAAACTTAATGCAAAACTAGCTGTTGGGGCCTTAAAGAGAGAAATGGCCAAAATAAGGTAATAAAAAGTTGTGTATGATTCTTGAGAGCGTTGGCCTGAATGTGTGATGTCTTGGGACGTGAAGGGTCATTAACTCCATACTGGAATCTTGTGTAGATAGTCTTTGGCGTGAGTCTTGCTTGTCAGCTGGTGAAAAAGGAAGGAGCCGTTGGGTAGTTACTCCTCTAAGTGTGAATGCATCCGAGAAAGGAAAGTAGTCAAGCCAGAGAATCCGCCTGATCCTCTGAGTGCTGGTGCAGCTAAGCACATCCTTTGAAGCTTCTAGATGGTTGAGATTATCTCCTGGTCGCCAAAGATAGGTTTGCAGTCTCTCAAACTCGGTAGACTCCAAATAAGGCAATTGTAGCTTCCTCCGGTTTAGAAACTCCATAACTTTCACATCAGAACCGATATTGATGTGATTCCAACTCGCCCCGGTCCTCTGATGAATCAAGATTGCAATGCAAGTCGGTTTGCAGCTTAGTTCCTCCTGGTTCGGTGGTAAACCTCCAATAACCGCTCGCATATCCAATACGGGTAAGCTCTGGTTCACTCGACTTTGAACATGAATAACTCCTTCGTTTGAACTCTGTTTGGTATGAATCAAATTCTCCCCGGTTCCCTGATGAGTTAAGTTTCCAACACATCCAGTCTTGTTGCTTGATTCGTCGTCGTTTGGCCGAAATGATTTTACTACTGATCGCATGTCTCCAGCGGGTTCATTGAAGATCTGCCAACTTATATCTTCAATATCTTCTTCATATGAACTCCTTTTGAACTGATTCTTCTTCGAGGTGGACTCTATAGGAGTTTAGTATTCTCTCCAAGTCCTGGCTGAGTCTGAATGCACGGAGGGATTGAGGTCTAGAAAGAACAAATCATGAAAGATAGTCTTTCCTTTATTCATGATATGCTCTCCAAGGGAGATCGTCTCTCCTTTACCCTTGGCTAGACCATCATGTCCACTGATCCTCTTCTCCAAGGTTGATGACATTCTGGAGATTGTATCAGCATAGTACTAATAAAACAAATTAAAATTGGGTTGGAGTCTAGTGTCCCAATGATAAGATGAGTTGGTTTTGTTCTTGTGGAGTGAATTTTTTTTTGTTTCTTTCAGAATTTCCATTTATTAACCGGCTCTCTTTATGACTTCAACTGGTGACCAAGGAAATGAGGGAAAATAATAAATTCATCTTTATTCTTTAAAAACTTTACCATTTGCTAGTAATAATATTTTTCTATCATTCTTTCTTATTCCTTATCATATAAAGAATTATAGAACAAATGTATTCCTTATTAAAATAGGGGAAGAACAAAATATATTTATTTACTTTCTTATATATTTTTCATTCCTATTCGTTCTTTTCCTTTTGTTCCTTTCATTCTTTTACTTTTCATTTCTATTCCTTTTTTATTGATCACTAGTTAAAGTATATGTCTCTATTGGGATTGGATCTCAAATCTTTTTTTTTTTAGAAAATTTGAAAAAATACTTTTGAAAGAGATTGTAGTTTGAAAACTACACCATTGTTCATTTTTTTTAACTATACTTATTTTTTTAATGAAATGTCTAAATTAATCTAATTAAAAATTGGTCATAGCTTTGTTATTTAATTTAAATATAAATAAATATATAAAATGAATATAAGAATGAAGACAGGTGATTTTGGAATTTGATTAATATTTTAATTAAAAATATATAAAAATAAATAAAAGAATAAAGATACATGATTATAGAATTTGAATCATCATTGCAGTTCATATATCATTTGATTTGGTCATTTGCTAAATTATATTTAGATCCAACTCTTAGAAATTTTATGATGGACCAAAATAGTTTTAGTTAAATTACATCTAAATAATACATTAATAAACTATTTTTGTTAAAGATAAATTTTCAAATATTTAAATTGATAATTTCAATTTTTAATTGTCTCAAATAAATTAATATTGTAATTAATAATTTCGAATTTTAATTTTCTCAAATAAATTAATATTAATAATTTCGAATTTTCATTTCTAATTTATTAAAATATATAATATCTCTTTTCAGCTAGGTAAAGAAAAACTTATTTATTTTTATATAATATAAATAAGTATTATTTTAAAAAAAAAATTAAATAATAGTATATTTTTCAAAATTTAAAAGGCATTTTGCCAATTCTCCCTTTTTTTTTTGTCTCCGACTGTTAGAAACTCTTCTCCTTTGTGTTTCCTTATATAGCGACCATCCACACTCGCAACAATCTCTCTAAATTTCTAGGGTTTTTTTAAATTTCATTTCTCCCTCAGGTGGTTTCTCTTTTACTTTAATCCAAGTTATAAGTTCTAGAATCTTCATTCTCTATGATTGGTCTGTACTGTATATCTTGTTTACTTTCTGTTTTCTTATTTTCTCCCTTCTTTTTGGAAATTCTCAAAAGATGAAATCATCAAAAACACTTTGACTTTTCTTCTATATGTAATAATTGATCTTCTCTACACTAAAATTATTTGGTGTAAACGATTACGATGTTTCAACCTCACTCAGATTCCTCCAGAAACTTTTTTTTTAAAATCCCACCTTACACGACTCTTCCTCCCTTTTTTGCAGGATCTCATTTTCCGACCAAATTCATCGAACTAAGACCTCAGTGTAAGAAAAATCCGGCGAATTCACTAAAAAAAGCCGTTGATAGTCAAATGGCGGTTTATTACCCAAGTAATGTCAATTGTTACCAACAAGAACCAATCTATCTCAATCATCAACAACAACAAGCCTCTTCTTCCTCCGCCGCCGCATCATTTGCCGGCGACAATGTTCGAAACGAGATGGTCTTTATCCCACCCACCACCAGAGACGTCGTAACGGGTCTTCAAAATCTCAACGGAGACGTTACAAGAAACGGC